GAGTAGTGGTTATTGTGCATGGAATATTTCTTTAAATAATCTACAAGTGCCCCTCTCAGGCTCAGGCTCAGGCTCAGGCTCTGGATCCGCCATTAGTATATGACATGTATATTAATGTGTGTATTAGTTTTTTTTATATATACATATATCTATCTCTCTATTATATTTACACATATTAATGTACATTTATAAATGCATAATACACAGAGAAATTTCATTAATATGTACCATATGTAATGAGCAGATATTGGCCCAGTCTTGTTGCTAGGTGCATACTCCAGCACAATAACATATTTAAAGTGAAGAGCACACCCACAGGACTTCAAAATAAAAAAATTTCAGTTGTGCCCTACATACATTCACCATTTCAGTCCCATTAACAAGCTTTCCTTAATATGTCAAGGTAGTTGGACAGAAACATTGATTACATAGAAAGGCAAGTCTGCTTAAAATAAATCTGCACTTTTGTTTATTTTGAAGCCTATGAGTGCGCTTTTTACGTTGAAGTACTTTTTAATTTTAAGTTATCTGTTCTAACTCTGTATCTGCACACTATGCTGGCGCGATGCATTATGGGGCTGGTAAATATTTTTTTTCCAGGGATGCTTTTAATTCCCAGTCCGGCCCTGGTGGTGCCTTTCAAAAAAGGTTTGTATATGTAATGACAGATCATGTGATACTTAGATTGCACACAGGTGGATATCATTTCACTAATTATGTGACTTCTGGTTGTACCAGAGCTTTTTATGGGCTTCATACATACGCACATGACAATTTTCTGTTTTCTATTTCTAAAAAATAGTTTTAGGTATATATTTTTCTCATTTCACTTCACCAACTTAGACTATTGTGTTCTGATCCATCACACAAAATTCAGTTTAATAAAACATTGGCTGTAATGTTACAAAATAGGTAAAAAGTCAAGGGGAGTGAATACTTTTGCAAGGCACTGTAGTTAGTATATTGTATTTGTGTAATATTGTATCCTATTGTAACAATGCAATGTTTTGTGGACCCAGGACATACTTGAAAACAAGTGAAATTTCAATGTATCCATCCTGGTAAAATATTTTATAAAAAAATAAATACATAATGTGTAAATGTTCATTCACCCCAGCATGAAAATGCCTGCAGTATGCAAACACACCCTTGCAATCAAACCAAACATTACAAACAAACAAACCATTGTATTAAAATGCCAACATTATATACAAACACAAAAGAAAAAAGAGTAATAGACGCTCACTATAGAAATTAGTGAATAAGCAGCAGTATACAGAACAAGGATTCCCAAAACCTTGTGAATAGATAGAAAAAAAAAGGAAACGTAAACCGCGCTGTTATAAATATAAATAGCACATACATATAATTGTAGATAATTCCAATGAGTCAGAAACCTCGGAATAAAATAAAATAGAAAAAATAATAGTGCAATACAGTAAAACTATATAACATGAAGTAGTGATTATAACTTTAACTCAATCCACTCTCATTCGTATGAGCTATAACAGAGCTCAGCTGTGATGCACTTGGACGGTACGATCCCCGTCTCAGGATATGTTGTTCTGGTTGGTCCAAATATTTCAAAGTGCAGTATGCATGGTAGAGAGAAATAGCAGCCAATAGTGAAGTACGTACTAATGATGGAGCTGATAATAAATAGTAATGTACTTACAATTTTTGGAGCATAAAACTTGCTCTAGTATAGACAGCTTAGGTGGTATAATCCCCACCAAGGATATACAGGATCTCGGAAGTAAAAAAAAGAATGAATATAAAAGTATCTATTAAAAAAGTATACTTTAATATAAACAAAACATAGTATAAAACATACAAGTTATATAAAAATATAAAGGAGAGTCCCACTTAACGTGTTTCGCCCGGTAGGCTTCTTCAGAACTTACTATTTACATACAAACACCCCTTCATTCAAACACCAACACTACAACCAAAAGTACTCATGCATTTAAAATGAAATACTACATACAGACACACCCCTGAATTCAAACGCAAACATTACATAAAAGCACACTATTGCATTCAAGTGGCAACAGTACATACAAATACATGCCTACATGCACACATATACTCAATAAAAAAGATGATTCTTTTCAAATGTACAAACACTGCTCATAAATACAACCCTGCAAGAATGGGCAAATAAATGGATCCCCATCTGCCATAGCATCATGGAAGTTTTATGACAGATGGGGATCTACCTTTTGGCTACCCTTGTGCTGGCAGAGTCCAAAAACCTTTCTTGCACCAGGGCCCTCGTTACATTAGTTCCGCCACTGAGGTGGTGAGTGTGATATTGTGACTATGTGTGGTGGGGGCATGATGTGACAGGGTGTGGTGAGTGAATTTGGGGAGTGGTGTGTAATTCCCTGCTCAGCCTTCCCTTTACAAATCATTATAGATCTTTTAAATTTATTTTTCATATATATTATTTAACTGATTTATCTATTTTTTTTTTTTGCAGTGTGTGTGTGGGAGTGGGGGGGCAGGAGGGGGCTTTAATATTTATTCCCTGATGGTCCAGCAGTTTTCCTGGTGGATCTGGACTTCAAGCTTGTGAAGAGCACTCTGAATGATCAGATGTCCCCTCCAGTCTTTGATCTGGAGGGGGAATCTGCAGAGAGCTGGTCCCGGCCAGAGGTGCAGTCTACCCGGACAATGAGTGCAAAGCTATGCTGATAGATCAGTGGAGCTCTCCACCAGCCCATGCAGCTGCCGGGGGGGGAACTGTGGACTCAGCAGAACCACCGTTGGAATGGTAGCACCGACTCTGTTGTCCTGCCTGCTAATGCAAACAAAACTTTGTTTGCAATAAACAAATTTATTTTGGAATTTTTTAAAATCATGTATACAGAATTACGGGATAGAACTGCATCCGCTGACAATTGTGTAACTATTTACATCAATTTCCTAAATTGCCAGCTATTTACACTGGCATTGTTTTCCATCTGTGCATTTTTCTGGATAATACTAACTTTGACAACAGTTGACTTGTGAAATAAATATCTAGATTGGGTCTAAATTACAACATTCAAGGACACTATCTACTGAAACGTAATATTTCCTAAGAGGTGTTCAAGAAAAATAGACAGGAGTATATACTCGTAATGTAATGTGTCCATAATTATTATTCCATCTTATGTAACGGTCTTAAAATATTAAATCTGCTTCCCATGAGCTCGTTGAATGCACAGGTGTGTCAATATTTAGCTAATTTCAGTGATTCATGCACAGCGCAAGGCAACAAGCAACAGTGTCTGGCACTATGTACAATGCTGCTCTTCTTAACAGCTTCATTACTGAAAGGCAATGACATAGTAAAAGTTTTCCCCCAGCTAGCACTCCCTATAAAGTTCAAACAAATAATATAAAGTATATTTGGTGTTCTATGTCATACCTCCAATTCCATTTGATCTTTCCTACAAAATGTCTTTTCTTGCACACATTTACTTTTCCCCTGATGTTTCCTGGCAGTTGACAACCTCAAGGTCCTTTTCATTTCCTTCTGCAGTTATTTGGTTCAATATATTTAATGTTATTTCATTTTAAATCGTGTTACATAACAGGATTTTGGAGGTGGTGGGCGGTGTTCTTCTACAAAAAAGCAAGACCACCAGAGATTTGGAAAATTCTATTAAAATATACCCACTTGAATTTACACTATCTGATTGCATGTTATAGTGTAAACATACACTATGGAATTTTTTTTAAAAACGTATCTTGCAAGTACTAAATAGACGCTGAATTCAGATGCATTTATAAACAACAGTAAACATTACTCCCATAGCATTAGTAAAATGTCTGCTTTTTTCTCAGTGCGCATATTAATGCGTAGCCAGTGCCACAGGGAATTAATGTTTCTTTTAGTGTTTGAAAAGCAATACTGCAAAAATACAGCTATGCATATTTACCGGTTATTAATTCCACTAGAAAGTGGAAAGTTCTACCACTCACACCACTTAAAGCTCATAACTCCGGCAAAGTTATTGCTAAAAGAATGTTCCTACTACATCTTTTGGGATTCTTAAATTTGTATTGGTCAGCAGTATCTTGTATGAATTATTTACTTACAATATATATGAGTTTCAGACAAATGCGTCAGTAAAGCACATATCCACTGGTTTGATGGGAACTGAATTTTTGCTCCTTCCTACAAAGGCTGAGGTGATCCTAAAATGCAAAATTTGGGAAGGGCTAACATTGTTTCCTCCACAAACATAAATATACAAACACAGTTACAGGCGCATACAAATACACACACAAGCACAGACACATTCATACATACATAAACAGATACACAGACAGAAACACACTCATACATACACAGATACACACATACACACACTTACTCATATCAAAAACAGATACACACACAGACTGACAGACATTCAAACATACACAGATAGACACAGACATAAATAAAGTCATACACACAGACAGACACCAAAACTTTTCTAATAGATTATCCACCCTCTCTTCTCTGGCTCAATGTGGTTTCTAAAATGTATTTTGGGGGAGCATGGAACCCACAAGTACACCATACAAGTGCTGCTTGCTTCTTTAACTAAGTGAACATATGTTTTTTTGCAGCTGTCAATATAGGTAATAGAGCTATCTTACTAGATGAAGTTTTAAAAAGAAACCTGCAACGGGGATATATATATATATATTTTGTTTTAATTATTATTATTATTTATTTTATTTTTTTACTGCAGAGCATTAGTTTGAAATGGATCTAAAAGACATTCACATTTTGCTTTGGATATCTGTTTAAAGACACCACTTAGGCAGTTGCTTAAGAATAATATACCGTAGTAAAATAATTGAATTGGATTTTTATTTTAAACTAAGCTCTCTTATGATAACGTGCTGCTGGGACACATTGTGAACACAAGCAGAAGGTCAGGAAGTTTGGAGGAGGAGCAATTAAGTACTGCTATATGATTCTTTGTTGTAGTAGTGAAAAGAAAATTCAGTGCTCACTCTAGCATCGCGTATCCCAGGAGCAACTTTACTGGACTCCCAAAACTTTTGCAGAGAGAAAAAAAAAAACGAAGAGAAGAGAAAATCACAGAGGTTCAACCAGGACGTGGACCTCTAAATTATGGAGCTGATTGTATTCCTGAATGCTATTATCACAAGACTACTTTTTATTCTTCATTCTATAGTGGGAGTTTGGAGAGTTACAGTGATTAAAAATGACAGGACTTATTGGCTGCTGGCGCTTCTGAATTTGTGCATGGGTATTGAGATGGTGCTGACATTTAAATTTAAGAAAGGCAGAGGTTTGAAATGGTAAGAAACTTATTTTGCATGATGCTAATTAATCTATTATTTTTTAAATAATCTCTGAATTGCTTAGGTCTGATTTCTTTCCTCTTCTCCGATCCAATACATATTTATTGCTTTAATCCTTTCATTTACAGAAGGGGCTGATAGTCATCGTGGTATAATGTAGTGTAAGGGTGCCCAAAAGATTCTGAAAAATGACAGTTTTGATGATGCTTTGTCATTCTAAAAGCATGCAAAGCATCATTGGAGTTGTAGTTCTACAACATCTGGAGATCTACCTTTTTGGCACCCCTGATGTAGTGGGACTTCACAGAGCATAAAGCAGGGGGAGGCAACCTTCCGCACTCCAGATGTTATGGGCTAGATCTCCCATAATGCTGGCAAAGCATCAGGGGGCATGTAGTCCACAACATCTGGAGTGTCGAAGGTTGCCTACCCCTGGCCTAAAGCAAATACTTTAATAAACTAAGATGGGTTATTTTTGTTATTTATATATCAGGCTTATAATGGTTTGCTGTGATTTTAAAATACTTGTGTGGAAAACAGATTTGCTGTGTAAATTATTGCCTATCTGCATTTAAATGTTGCACAATGGGGTCATAATAACAACAATAGCGAATAGTGATGCAATAATAATAATATATTCTACAGAACACAGATGAAAATATAAAATCTAGAATTTAATTATTAAAGTCATTTTTATTATTGGTATTTATATAGCACTAACTTATTCCATAGCGGTTGTTAAATTAGGTTAAATCCCATATTTTACTGTAAAGATTTACGTTGCTTCCATAGAAGACTTATTAACCCTGGAAGTGCCAGAGTAAAAGCAGTGTACTGTATCATACTGTCTGGAACTCCCCTCTACTCCCACCTAATAATTAGCTTTTACCCTAAGGATCGTTTAACTTGTCCACTTCCGTCTATCACAACCACAGAGGGAAATCATTTCGCTTAAACTGGCCACAAATATGTCTTTACTCAATAACTTTTTTTTATATGTTTTCTATGCAACTCTGTATTGCATCAAATGATTTATAGTGAGGAATATGCCAATCTCTGAAACATAAGTGTGCCTCTTTAATGGCATCATAAATACTGATACAGCAAATAAGTAAATAATACTTGCCTTTAATTACAATGACAGTAACCACAAATGAGTCACAATGTGTCTAAATATTTTAATACATCTTTATATATCTGCTTTTTATGTAAAATCATCCAGGCTTCAGTATGTAATTTTTTTCTCAATGTCTGTTAAAGAGACACTAAATCACCATAACTACTGCAGATCATTTTAGTGGTTATGGTAAGAGTCTAGGCACTGCCCCCTATTTTCTGTCAAAATCTCAGCCCTTTCGGGGACACATAGCCTGCCACCATGGCTGCCACACTGATTGTGCAGAAGTTACCCCTCTGTAGTATTAAAAGCAAATTTGTACAACTTTGAATAGCAATGATGGCTGAAATCTCTGGGCTAACCATTCAAATGAATGGTTCTACTAGAAGATGCTTTGATTTAGAAGGGTAAGAAGGGTAACAATGTATGTGTTTAGCCACTTGATCTTGTCAACTAAATATTTGAGCCAATGCTTTATACTCTCCACATTTAAATATGCTTGCCGCCTTAAACAAAATTAAACAATTATTTGTAAAATGGTTCACAGGAACCATTTTATTTCATTTATTTTGAGTAACTCAATGATTGAATTATTCAGTAGCATAGACACTCACTATTGTTTTTCAGTAACAGATTTATTGCATGAGAGTTTTAGGTCAAGGAGATATGTAAATTGCAACTGTTGAAAAGTTATAATGCAACGGTTTGCATGCCATTGGTGTCATAGGATTAGTGAGCATATAATTCTTATTAAATCGTTCAGTCATTACAAAATTGCTTACAATATAACTCTTAAAGTCCTTATCATACCCCAATGAACTGAACTTTGTGTGCTTTGGCAAAGGCATGTAAGGCATGTGTGTATATGTGTGTTGACTGGAGGGAGACTGGAATGAAAGTGAAGGTTTGTGTGTTTGGATTATATGAAGTACTGCCTGACAGAGAGAGAGAGAGAGATGGTGATGATGTCAAAAAGATGACTAACACAAAATTTACAAGCTAAGCGTCTGTAACTCTTATTTCAGCATACTCTCTGGTCCTAGAGCATAGGGAGCAGTGGTGGTTTGTGGGTAAGTGTGAGTCCATTCGAGGTGAACAATGTTTAGATATAGATTTGCAATATGAAAGCATACAATATAGTTACAGTATAGAAATAATTAATAGAACTATTTAAAGCTAATACATTAATATCAAAGAGCATATCTATGGCGATTTTTCACAAATTGCGTTTGCTAAATATTGCTAGGTAAAATGAAAATAGGTTTCGAAATCTGGTCTTGCAAGCTTTTATTATCATTATTATTATTATTAATAATAATAATATCTGGTGCTGTGCATTTTGTTTTGACTGATTCACAATTTGTTCAAATTTTGGGTGACTGGCTAAATGGTCAAAAAAACTGAATTCTGATTTGTCATATGACTGAATTACAATGCAAACTAAACAACCAATAGATGAGCCATATATGTCTACCAAACATACAAAAAAAAAGTATAGGGGAGACCTGGCACAGGTCCCCTATATACCCGCACTCATAGGCATCAGGTGTGGCTTAAAATTAAATAATGGGGCTATAATGGGGCTTTACTGTCCACCCCCCACTTCCTCCACCCATGGGGACAATCTAGTATCATCTTAGCACCCTCCCATGAGTAGCAGGAGGGGCTATTCCTTAAATAAATGGAAAGACATTGTGCCCCTCCAGCCCCCATCCATCGGCAACATGTGTGGGGCTATTAATGTAATAAACCCATTTTTAAATGGTGTGTGGAGGACTATTGGAATAATATTTTTGGGGGGTACATATGCTCTTGTCCACTACCCCACCCCCACCCATAGGCCTTGGTTAAGGAGGGATTAGGGTGTGTTGGATCCCAGCCACCCTTCAACTTCTAAAAAAAATCTGTAGAATAATGCTGTGCCTATATAATGTCTCAAGTGATACTCATCATTTTGATATTGGCTTTTTACGATTATATGCCCATACTATTCCCATAATATTTTATTGACAATAAGAGAACCAAATGTATCTCTTTTCTTGTGTATAATATGTGTAAAGCAGGAACAAAACAGCCGAGGTCCTGAGATTTTGGTGTAAGAGCGCTTTGCTTCTTATATTAGCTACAGTTGCTGTGTTGGGGCGTCATTCTGGCATTGTACTTTGTTGAAGAGGGGGGCTCATTCAACTGGAGAATTGAAAATCATCCTTAATGTCACAGTAATGTCAGGTGGACTGGGTGATCTGCTTGCTTGCTTTTTGTTAAAAAAATAATCCTCCCTCGTCGCTTTTTTTTTCTACTTTAGCTGCTAGAATGCAGCCATGAAACATGACCCTCAAACATTCCTGTAGAGTATGGATGGAGGTTGGCTGCCATGCAGTGCCTATGTAAAGAAGCAGAGGTGCAATATGGAAACCTGGCAGAGAAATTGATTTCTCTGCAGGATGAAAACCAGCACTGGAGCCAAGACATAAGCCAGCATGGATTAATGGGCTACATTTATTTTGCTTCGCTTCCCAGTGCCAAACAAAAGTAAGCACATTAATACACATTGTTGGCAGAGAAAGGGTTAATGATATGAAAATCAACTCACTGACCCTCCCTGTCACTCATGAACTAAAGGAGCAGAAGAAACGTCAGCATGTATATTTTTGACTAAATGCTTCTTTTGCTAAACTCAAGTAACTTCTGATCATATTCACTTCAACTTTCTTCAAGCCAGATATTTTTAACAACTACAATGCAGATGAAAGTCTAACTCAACATCCACATTGTTTCCTGAAACTGTAAACTGACTTTTCCTCCACACAGCCACTATTCATGAACAAGGAATGACATTGTTACCATTTACTGACCTAATTCCTAATTGTATAATATGATTATGTCACTGTGGCGGAACCAACCTCACCACTGTGCACTGGAGGAGCCTGGTTCCTCTCCTGCTCCCTTTAGACTATGGCCCGGCATTTAAAACCTTTTATTTTCCCTGCAAAAAGGCTTAATTGTGTCTTTCTGCCGTGGTGTTTGGTAGATTCAATCTACCGAACAAAGTACTGAACGATCGACCACCTGGGAACTGGAGTGTGCCGTCAACTGGCCGCCCAGAAGCTGCATTTAACCGCAGCTTAATTGACGAACGCTGGGTGGCCTTTGTTCATTTGCCGAACACGTGGCAGTGGCCATTTTAACTCCCGAACTGCCAGCGGTGTTCAGTGCCCAAACTATGGAACTGGAAATGGACACTTATTTGCACGAACACCGCTGAGCCGCCAGCCTCCTTACCTCTGCATTCGGTAGTATAACCGAATGCCTTTTCATTCGGTAGTTTAACCGTATGAATAGCATCACCCCAGATAGCTGTGCCATGGAGCCTATTCGTGTAACGAAAGACTATGGGAAAGACTTTGGCTCCATGGTGATTGAACTGTATGTATGTGATCTGAGCTCCATTCGGTAATAATGTGCGCTCAGATCTAAGCTATCTGGGGATATGTAGAATGTATGTGTTTTATTCATTATTTGCAACATTGGGTATTTTTGTGTCTTTTTGCTAACATGTGCTCAATGGTGTTTTGCCTCTGTCCTGGGAGATAATTGGATTACTTCCCAATTATCTCCAGGATAGAGAGGAGGGATTGTGATGTAATTGTGGGAGTGTTTAAAAGTGGATGTCTGTAATTGGTCAATGTCCAATATGTTTCCCAGTCTTCAATCTGGTTCCCTACGGGAGTGTCCACCAGGTGGAAGACCTGCATAAAAGCCAGGCAGGTAGCCCCAGTAAATGAGTTCTGCTTGACCCTCAAGCGAAGTGTCGTCTCGTTCTTGGGGGGAATTGGATTGTATGCTGATTGCCAGGAGTGTAAGCTGATTGTATGCTTTTCCTGTTCGGCTGGTTTCAGTGTTCGTGTGTTTCCTGTTTGGGAGTTGGAGGATTCGTGTAGTTTGCAGTTCGGGAGATTGGTGATTCCAGTAGCTGCCTGGGCATCTGAAAAGGGAATATCGCCTTAACGGTTTTTAACCTGTTGTGTGCAAAACGGTCCGTTACAGTCACTTGCACACTAACATGAGATCTTGGTAACTTTGTGGCAAAATAAGAATTGTTGAAGCCCACTGACCACATGAAAGGGATTCTACATATGGATAAAATCAGTGTAAATATAAGAGTGAATACTTTGTTATAAAGGGTAGAGCAAAATAACAGGGTGCAAAGAATTCTGAAAACAGACAACCACTCAACACATACCCTTCGATAGAACCACGCTCAGATCTCAAGCTCGTTTTAGCTCATCTTGTGCCATTACAAAAAAGAACCTTGGCCCATATCAGACTGCAAAAGGCTCTCTCTGCACCAGAGATACAGTGACCTCAGACAATCATTTGTTAGGTCTTGTTAGTTAGGTATGGCCAATACCCATGTAGGCACAGTGACAAAGGGGTCCACATTTGGATTACCCTTTAAACTTTTGGACAGCAAAAAAAAAGGTCTAAAAGATAATCCAGACATTGGTCTATTGTTCACTGTGCCTAATCGGGTACCTCATACACCTCACTGATAAGGCCTAAGACGGCTGAAACAATCATCTGGGGTTGCTGTATCTTACTTGCAGAGGGAAATGGGGCACAAGGTGAACTAAAACCACCTTGAGATATGAGCGGGAAAGGGCACTGAAGGGTGAACTACTTTGTAGGGTACCATTTTACTTAATTCTGACCTGCAGTGTGTGTAGTAAAATAATATTTATATTTTCTGGCATAATATGTCTGACAACTTGATCTGTTGTCCATTCTTAGTAATCTCTTCTCTTCTTTTTGTTCTCCCGAAGTCTAAAGGGTAATCTAGACATGAGCTTCTTGCTCACTGTGCCTAGAGGGTTATCAGCAATACCTCATTGACAAGACCTAACAAGTTGGAAACGGTCATCTGGGGCTGCTGTATCTCTAGTGTAGAGAGAGACGGACAATATTTTGGATCTGGACCTTTTGGGTTGGATCAGTCTGATATGCAAATGGCCTACGTTCTCTTTGTAATGTCATGAAATGAGCTAAAGCCAGCTTGTGATTGGAGCAGGGACCCACCGAAGAGCAAGCTAATTGAGCTGTTGTCCATTCTCAATATTCTTTTTTCCTAATGGTTCTCTTGCCTAATGGTTAGCTGATCAACACGGTAGTTGTGATCACATAATACTGTCTGTATTTTGAAGATGGTAATACTTAAAATGACCCTTCTCATAGCTGAAGACACTTTACAACTGGAAGATTTTGTAATACTAAAGTAGAAAATAAATCTGAATTTTCTAATTAAAAACAGAAATCCACGCCCTGCATGCTTTACAAATGTTTTAGCTCTGTATTATATTTCATTTATGTAACCATTTGACATTTAATAGTTATATTTGATATGTACGATGGACCCTTCCCACTTTTTTTTTTTTAGTTTTGTTATAATATTGTTTTAAAACGATATTGTTATTTTTTTTTGTGAAAAAAATTGTCACTAAAAGTAATTTAAAAAAACAACAAAAAACAGCAATGCTACTCTAGGTTTTTTAGAACTGCACAAATCGCAGAATAGAACATATTGCATCAAATGCCTTTGTTGGAGATGAGTAACAATACATTAATACATTAATCAAACCTTGCTTACACTATAGGTTTGATAAAAGTGTAATATTCTTTCTTACATGCATGACACTTCGAACAATAGCAATGTCTGATGTGAGAAATCCTGTAATTGTTCAAAAATTACTTGAGATGATTAGCTGCTAATCCTCTCAGTAAAATCTCCGGTTAACGATAAAAGTTGAAAATAACCAATGCCAATAATTTTTTTTTTGGGGGGGGGGGCATTTACTGACTGGCTAGTTTTAAATCATTTCGTGTCCAAGATCAACTCAAGGTGAATAAAAGTGAACAAAAATATCATAGGAGTATGCACGGGTTGTACCAGGTGTGTCCAGGAAGACTCTAATGTGCATGTTACATGGACCAGAATTTGCTAGGAGAGTACCTGCACCCCACCACTGTTGTGCATGAGCACCTTGGGGGAGGGGGGAATTGAAAATCACTGTGTATGCTTCCTCATGGACAGGAAGGAACTTTTTCAGAACTCTGCACACACTGGAGACGCTGACCACAAGCTCCTCCGACTGGACCACCAGGGAGCTGTATCAGAGGACCCATCACTCATGAACCTTGCATTCAGTGGAACCCAGATAATTTGATAAACTCATCTAAAACAGTATGACAGATAAAACTAGGAGGATGCCAGGCAATCCTGACACCATAATCTCTGCAGAGGACTAAGCTTTGAGTGTTCAGTGGGCTTTAGTGGTTATAGAGTTTTGAGTGCTCCTCCAAGAAATATCCACCTTATTTAAAATTTTAAAAAAAATCATAGAGAAATAGCTCCCGGGTGCACGCCCTAATGAAATGAGCTGCAAACTCCAAACAAACTATACGTATCACTCTACTCAACAGCTCCAAGAGAGAGCCTGAGTTGTGACCGTGAACACAAATAGTTGGATTAGGAGTATGCCAAGGCTGGGCTGTGAGTAAACTGCAAGCAGTATCAGTATACTTTGATTAGTTTATTATGCAGCTCCACTCATTAGAATAAGACTGCAACTGGTGTATTGTACTACATACCTCATGTTGGACAGATATTTATGACTCAAGAAAAATACCAAGTGACTAAAAAAGGGAGTTTCTGCTGCTTCTGTTTGCAGAGCATTAGCAGAAGCAGAATAACGTTTTAAGCTATCTTTTGTTTTGTATTAATTTGTTTTTAATTTCTATTACATTACCAATATTATGTATTAAAATATGAATGGTCACTTTGACATCATCATGACCATTTAAAACTCTGACCTAAAAATAAAATATATGCTGTGAATTGGTACCTAACTAAAGAATCACTGAAATTGATAGTACAGGCAAGAACAAAATATACTTAGTGCAGGGCTTCTGCTTGTTTGTAAATAAAATAGTTTAAGTTTGGGCTAACTTGAAATAGCTGTCTTGTGTTACCCTCTAAATTTAGCTAGAAAATCAGTTATCATGCAGAAATGACTACTTCCCAATTCCTGGGAACTGATGAGTAGATCTTAGCGTAGTCTGAAAGATGACAGCTGTGCTGAGACGTGGTTTATGTTCTCTATTTTTTTGTTTATTGTAAAAAATGTAAAAGAACAGCTTGATTATCAATATAGTATTTAACAGGGTTATTCACTAAAAAACGGATTTTGTCTGAATGGACAAATTCCGTTGAAAACAACAGAATTCTGACTGCAGTGTCAATTATCAGATTTAAGCAAAAGCTGAGAATGGGCAAAAGCTTAGAGAAACTCAGTAGCTCACCCTTTGGCCAGCCCCCTCTCAGATCTCAAAATATTTTTCTCACTTATGTCATTACAGAGAGTAAAAATAGAGGGGGAATTAAGCGCTAGCAGTTTTCTGGTACAGTTGAAGAGGCAGCTCAATCACCAAATCCGGGGTCTCTTTTGTCCGGAATGGAAGAATGGAAAAAACAAAGGGGTGGTGCAGCCCCAAGTATGTCCTTAAAAATATTTAGGATGATAGAGAGAGAACTGATAGTGCATGTAAAATACAATTGGAAAAGAATTATAAAAATAATTCACTCACACTTTTTGGGAGCTTAGGTGCAGCTCTGACTTTTGCACTTGGTCGTAATGATCCCCGACTCAAGGATATGATGTGGTCACAGGTCTGCAGATAATCCTTTTTGTAGTTTTGCTCATCAGCATATAACAGAGAAGAATAGAAGATGATATAGTGTAGAATGTCAGACAAAAGTGTAAAACTAAAATAGAGTGAAAAATGTGCACTCACATATTTTGGAGCCAGACCTTCCACTCCCCAAATAAGGCGTGGAGTGGTATAATCCCCACTCTTGGATATGGGCGATGGTGGTGTTTCTCCGTGTATGTGGATAAAAAAAGAAGAAACCCGCAATAGTGTATAAGTGTGAGATTTTAATGGAAATATGAAATAGATAAAATGCGTACTCACATGTAGTGGAGCAAAATAAGATTTGCTCAATCCGAAGGGCGTAGGTGGTTTAGTATCCCCACCAAGGATCTAGGTGCTTGTGGATCCAGCAGAAATCAATTTGGTCCAATAAAAAAAGAGTACTTTTTACTTATAAAAACAAAAAAATAAAGCAATTAAAAATAATAAAATAAACCGATATAAAATAGTATAAAATACACTTAACACGTTTCACAGACAGACTGACTTTATCAAAAGTGTTTACACTTAACGCATTTCACCAACAGACTGTTGTGTATTTTATGTGTTCTCTCTCGATCATCCTACATATTTTTTTTTTTTAATTCTTTATTTTTGCAGGCAAGCATAAGCATAGGGATACATCATGTGAGTAAAAGATAGCAATCAACAGGTATAAATTTTGGCATGAATTAATTCACAAAAAATGGAAAGACACAATTTTTATTTTAGTTAAACTTAAATCCCTCTTAGCTGTAATATAGTGTAATCGGAGTATGGAACAGAGGTTGCTAGTTGTAAGCTTAGAGCACGGGTGTTATGTGGGGTATTAAACTAAGCAAGTTGTTTGTTTATCCGTTTATGGAGCCAAGCGCACTTGTGAGTGCATTTGTGCATGAAACTAAAAAATAAAAATGTATAATGGATACGTTTCTGCCAACTTTTTTTTGTTAACTAAACATGTCAACAGTTAAGCTAAACATATGGAAATATAGCCACAATTGGTAGCTCAAGTGTCCATTGCCTTCAATTCAAGTGATCCTACATATTTTAAAGGACATGTTGGTGCTACACCACCCCTTTGTTTTCTCCATTACAGAGAGACCTATACCATTTGCATGTCAGAATGGTCCCCCAATGAGGGCAGTTCAGATCCAAAATGCTGGCAAGTTTTCTCTGCATGAGAGATACAGCAATCCTGGACGATTGTTTTGGCCTTCTTTGGGCCGTGTCAGAGAGGTGTAGCTGATACCCTCTAGGCAGAGTGAGCAGGGGGGCCACGCCTGGATTACCCTTTATGCTTGGGGAGAGCCCTATCAAAACACATTACAACGAAATCAGAGAATATGAGAACACTGAGGCAAAAGCTTAGAGAAATACAGTAGCTTACCCTTTGGCTAGTCCCCGTTCAGGTCTCAAAGGCTGGGTGTTGGGTTGACATATTGTACATTCTTGTGTTCACATTAAGACCTGTTATTCAAAAGAGTTAAAGCATTTTCCCAGTTTCTATTTCATGTATTTAATTATATGATTATAGTCTCCCTAGACAGAGATAAATATCTCAAATTCATTTGGGTTAAGCCCACAGACAATATGTTGTCTTTTTTGCTTGGGGACATGGGAACTTGCATCCTTAGTATATATTTATATAAATTGTATGTAAATGCAGCTAAAAATAAAATATTCTTATATGGAATAATATCCCATAATATCCTGTATGGATAAATTCCATTCCATTTCTATTCATTTCCAAGCTAGCATGATTTTTCCCCCCAGAAAATGGAAATAAAAATGTAGTGGCCATCAATATGCTTTAAAACCTTCCATCTAAAGGAGCTGTTGTTTGAATTGAAGTAATAATATAGAATTATGTAGAATCGAAGTAGTAATATAAAAATATATTTAAGTTAGGTTTTTAGATAAATCTTGAAATTACATACAAGTAAATATCTCGATTTTTTTTTTTTGCAATAGGTTAACAAAAAAGCAGCAAAATTAAGGCCAAAATAACTATGATAGAATCATTAATTTAGCCGTTGCTCAACATATTTTGTTTAGAGAACAGACCCCTTCTCAAGTACTTTGTGTGTACTGGGTAAGGTACACTGACTGTTTCTCTGATAGAATATTCTGCAGTGCTTTATTCAAGCTTACATAATTTGGGTGTTATTGAAAATCTGTGGCTGCTGGTCTGCTTATACTTAATAATGTCATGTCCTGTGTGGCGATGAAGGTATTATTACCTCCATTTGGGCTCACTGTAATAAATTCCCTCATCTCTCCACTGACCTCATCATCAGCATGGAGAGCTGGAAACGGGCCACACTGTGACTACATCTGGTTTCCAGAGCTCTAAGAAAACACTACACCTGACAGTATAAGAATCGTTTTCTGTGGAAGCATTAAACCTGGTATGGTTGAAGCCAAAACATTCCGCAGGAGAAACAAAGTGACACTAAAAAAAAAAGTTTCCCTTCGCATTCCTTCTCAAATGACTTGCCCATGTTGTATAACTCTTTTCGAGCCCGTTCATGTGACTTTTTTGCCATGCACATATTAATAGAACAAACATGATATGTGTTAAAAAGTTATAAAAATATATTTAATATGATCTGAATGAGAAATACATTTTTTTAATTTTTTTTGTTTTTGCAGATGATGCAGTTTTTTTATGGATACCATACAACTGACCATTAATCAATAAAAAAAAAAAAAAATAGAAATAAAATATTTTAGCAGAACATCATAACAATATTATGGGATGTGTTCATTAAACAACATGTAGTGAGTTGAGAACATTATTGTAAAAGATCTATGTTTTAAAAATATTATCACATCCCTTGAAAAGCCATATATCAGCTCCCCACAATCTGCTGTTGAGTACCCCCGATACCTGAACAAAACTGCTTTAATTTACTTGAATGTAAGACTCATTCTCTTACAAACATCTGAAATGTAGTGGGTGATTGATAATAAGACTTATTTCTTTCTCTCTTATGCAGTTACTGCATATTAGTGCTAGCTTACTTCTGCTTGGAGTGTTCAATCTTCAAACTATACTTTAATGATGGCACATACTTAGTGGTCAGCCATATAACTACCATTTAGAGACGTTTGACAAGCCACAAAGCTAAAACCAATTTCTTACTGAAACAAAGCAGAAGGATTCTGTTATTTCTAAATTCAAAATAAAAGTCATGTTGTTAAATCTAATCCCCAAATCTAACTTTCAACAAATTTATCAAAGTGTATCAGTTTAAAAAAAAAAAGAAAATCTGTGCATTCTGTTAGTAAAAATAGTAGCAAACATATAGCTTTTGAAATACGTCAATTTAAAAATATAGTCATCTCCCACCTGTCAATCATTCTCTGTATTGCGGTTTGACTTACAGAGTGAGCAGGAGAATCCTCCTGTAGACAGGTAATTTGCATTTTGACATGTTTGTTGGGGAATACAGGAGCCAAGTGACTGATGTCACAACATTCTGATGCTGATGAACTGGGAATGAAGACAGCATATTTTGATGTTATAGAGCAAGAATGTTTTGTATGGGGACCTGAGCCATGAACATGAGAATATAGGAATATAGTGAGACTATATAAGTGTTAACCTTATAAAAACGGGCTTTGACTATCTCCAAATTCATATACAACTTCAACATTCTTCACAACACTCTGCCTTGAAGATCTGTGATATACATCCAGTTTCTGTACCTATACATTCCATGGAAGATACCAAAATCTGAGAGAATTAAATTTAAATTAGCGGCAATGCACCATGATTATTGCAGCTTCTTATAATACCCGTATACCATTATGTATATATTTTTTTGCTTCATGACTTAGTGTCTGTGGCCCGAAAAAAAAAGAGATGATTGCTGGTTGGGGTGAGCTACTAAATAAAACAAATACAGAAAGAATTCAATAAATTGACAAATGAAGAAATAAGCCAGGGAACCACCAGACTAAATTCTTAAAATGCACAACTGAATCCTGAAAAGTAACTGAATGCTCAAAATTGTGGTTTATTAAAAAGGTGCAAAGATTGGGTTGTCACAGTACTGCAAAATATTATTTATATTTATATTTATATATATATATATATATATATATATAATGATAAATAAATATAAATATATACAATTGAAGGAAGGGAGCACTCATCAGTCTTTAGACAAAAGTTGTGGCATTTTATTCAAATATTACATCACGCAAAGTGCTTGATCAATGTTTCAACCCCTTCAGGTCTTTCTCAGGACCTGAAGGGAACCTGCCAAGAATGGAGAACATTGACGTTGTCGCAGGCTTATGCAATATATGATCATATAATGTAACTAAAACTCCATAATTTTTTGCCTAGGTGAGGTGTTTTAAATTAAAACTAGTTCAATCTGTGAGATTTGAAATCATTGTTTAGTGAATAAGCGAGTGCGCTGGATTGTGTATATCTTGTATGTTGTATATATTGGCCCCAACAGCACCCTATAGTGTATGCATGTTCAGGTGAGTGCAGTCCTAGCCATCTTTTTATTAATTTATATATATATATATATATATATATATATATAGTGAAAAAGTGATCAGCACTCTCGGGCTTTAGAAGGTTAAAACTTACAGTTTATTGAAACTCCATTAAAAGATCAACGTTTCAGTTCCTGTCTGGAACTTTCATCAGGATCAAGCATATAAAACAAGTAAACACAATGCATTTATATACCTAAAGTATAAGTGAAATTAGACAAAAAATGACTTACCCCTGTGCTCAGAGTGGTGGGTGTGGAGCCCATGGCGTCTACCATCCCTCCGTGCGCATGCGCAGACATGGCCCCGCCCCTACGTGCCGTGATGACGTCACGCGTTGCCGCAGCAACGCTAGAGTCACATGGGGAATAAAACCAGGAAGTGACTGGTAGTGAATTACATGTATATACGGTTGCTATAGCAACCCGGCTAAAACGCTAAAACCTATTGAATTCAATTTGTATAGAGGGATTTCTATTGAATTCAATAGGTTTTAGCGTTAATTCACTACCAGTCACTTCCTGGTTTTATTCCCCATGTGACTCTAGCGTTGCAACGCGTGACGTCATCACGGCACGTAGGGGCGGGGCCACGTCCGCGCATGCGCACGGAGGGATGGTAGACGCCAGGGACTCCACACCCACCACTCTGAGCACAGGGGTAAGTCATTTTTTGTCTAATTTCACTTATACTTAAGGTATATAAATGCATTGTTTTTACTTGTTTTATATGCTTGATCCTGATGAAAGTTCCAGACAGGAACTGAAACGTTGATCTTTTAATGGAGTTTCAATAAACTGTAAGTTTTAACCTTCTAAAGCCCGAGAGTGCTGATCACTTTTTCACTATATGCATATTTTCCCTGGATTACAAGCACCCGGCCTACATCAGTCTATAAGCGTGAGTGCAAGGATACCCTGTATTTTATCTATATATATATATATATATATAGAGATCAAGTAGAGATTGTAGCCGTATAAGTCCAGTGATGTAGATGTAAAAATCAGATACAATTCGTATCTCCCTTCCCTTCTAGCACCATCTTCTGCTCTGTTCGCTTGTTTTTTTTTTCTCTTTCTCCCCTCTCACTCTGTGATATTCACGACCCTCTGCAAGAATGGTGTCTAGGTTCTATCAAACCTGTGTCTTAACTGCACTCATGTCACTTTAACCCCTGTATCACAACTCAACTTTGAATTCTATGTGTCGTCTTACTCAGAAATGCTTCAGACTTGAGAAAGGGAGGTTCTCTCAACAGCTTGTCATAAAATAATTCTGTTAATTCAATAAAAAAGGTATTACAGGATACGAATTGTATCTGTTTTTTCCATGTATATATAGTAGTAGTAGTAGTAGTATATTAGTTTTTTCAACGTTTTGGTTTGCCCGAATAGGTTTTTCTGAATTCTTTGCATGGACAATATTCAGATGAGCTGAAATGCTGCATCAATGAAATACAGTCAACAGAATCAAATTTTGTTTTCAACTAAATTTCATTTTTCCTCCATTACACAATTTTTTAAAGACTGTATAATTACTCATTCAGATTTGTAAATCTAAAACAGATTTGTAAAATTGGTTGATATCACAACATTATTACACTACCACACAGTTTGCATTCATGGGAACACCTCTCAGTAATGGGAGTTTTTTTTTCAGCCTCCTCCCCCCTCTCTTGCCCACCTACAAATTCAGTCCAGACCAGTCCACTGATGACTGTAACAGGATATCATTGTGTAGCAACACTTAGCTCCTTATTTTTCATGCACTAACACAAATGTTTTTAGCCTCCAGAGTAAAGCATCTGTCTCCTTTAAAGTGATGCATGTCCCCTCAAGTAGAAACATATTCATACTATTTACTAGTAGTCAAGCACGTGGAATATTTTCTGATTAAACTGACTTGAAAAGCCTGGCCTAAGAGACCCTGAACTGATACAATTTCCATTTTGATGTAAACAAGCAGATAGGTAATGCTTCTCAAAATCCAGTTTCTTCAAGTTAGCCATCAAGGAGAAGTTAGAAAGAATACCATTGGAGGAATATAAGGACTACTATTTGCAGGCACATGCCAGTGAGCACAAAGTAACATTAATAAATACATGTGTGTGTGTGGCTTCTTCCATATGGTACCCAAAGTTAAGGAATTAAAGTAGTGGATGTTCTCCTGATCCATTCTTACCCAAGTGGAATCCAAAGAATGGTTTTCCATTTCAACACCTTGTGTGTAGCAGGATAGGTCTACATTTTTGATGGCCACAAAGATGCCATGCTGCCTCCTTGTCTTATTGGCTATAGGGTTAGTTGTATAAAAAAATAATATAGGGGTCTCCAATTTCCTATTATAAGCGAACACACTATTATTAACACGTTTGGATGACAGTTGTATATCATCTCATAGTAAATAACGCTGTATCAACTCCTATAAACATCCATATAATATATAATAAATAATTGCACTTTTTTGGTCTGTATTAGGTTAATAAATTTAGTGAAACAACATACTAAGCCAGTAACACTTGACACGGGAGATGTTTCTCTATAAGGACAACATAACATACGATGATGATGCCTTTTTTTTTTAAGTTTTACAAGATTTCAATGCTACAGGTGTGAAGAACAGGATAACCTACCTGAGTAAACGAATATAGAAGAAGAGAGAAGAAGAAGATAGTGTGTAGTGGGAGTGGTGGGGAGAGGGTTCATGTTTCTAGAGTGCAGGAACTCTATGTGTCTTGGAGATTTTGTAATTAACTCTGATGTAACCAACTACATGTGCTGGTGTATTGAATAGGTCTCCTTGATACTTGTGGTCAAGATAAAGTACACGGACATGAAAGAGTAATCAGGAGATCAGAATGTACGCATATATAGAAGTAATTCACGTTACATTTTAATATAAGGAATGTCAAAAATAACTTCCAGGAGTAATCACTAAAGTGAGAATTATCATTCAAAGTAAATTCAAATTTAATTTTCTAGTACAGCCTTTTGGGCTTTAAACTTTGAAACTTTGAATTCACTTTAAATTCACTTTAAACTCTTAACATTCATCTCATAGTAAATAATGCTTTATCAACTCCTATAAACATCCATATAATATATAATAAATAATTGCACTTTTTTTGTCTGTATTAGGTTAATAAATTTAGTGAAACAACATACTAAGCCAGTAATTTTTTTAAATAGTTTATATTACATTTTTTAAATAAATTTGGGGAAACCAATAATGGTAGAGGGTACAAAATAGAAAAAGGGGAAAATTGGGAAACAGTTTCTCCATCTACAATCATATACATAAGGGAACACATGACATTTCAAACAAACATGAATATGGCATAAACCATTAATGAATATGATTATTATGAGAACATTCTATGTTTTGTTACATATTTGTAAACCACTAAACCAATATATTCTAATGTAACAACAAAGGACTAATACTAGGCTTATTAATTTTTAATAATTGTACATAATCACCAAAGCATTACACATTGCAAGAAATACACATACAGGCTACTTCATGTAGCCACTGTGGCAATTAATAACGACAGCTTTTGTTATGATTTTAACAAAGGACTTTCACTGCAAATAAGAATATGCAAAGCCACAGTCTTCTCTTGCTACATCTGTATGTGATTATTGTTGCAAACATGTTCTAATATAATCCAGATGGACACACACCAATGGAAAGAAATAAAATAAGTGTTATATTTTGCTAATAATTAAAGAGAATTGATTCCTCAATACATCTGTTCAGTAAATGGCAAGCTCATTCGATGTTTCTTCTGATTCACAAATGAGTAATTTATGTTGCTTGCTTGAAAGCCTAAAGGGGATACGTATCAAATGCTGCCTGCTGGTTCAGAGAATATTCAGGCAGAAGCACATCTGTTTAGTGCAAAGGTTTTCAGATGATTTGTTCCAGTTTCAAAAGAATATATTGCCATTGCAATAGTCAAAGCATGGGCATAGCTCTTCAGATACTCAATTTTATTCGGATATGCGATCCAATTAATAATCAATTTGTTCTAGATTAACATATGCCAGAAAAATAACTTCAAGAAACAATGTAGACAATTGGATAGTCTTGAAAAGGGCTTTTTCATCCTTGAGATGACTTCTTTTTCTAATATATTGTGGCCATAATGCATTCAGATATGCAAAATAAATATGGAGATTTTATGATAAAAAAATATGCAAAGAATACAAATACAAATTAAAATATGAATTAAGGCATACAAAGACATATATTTTTTGCAAATATGCACCTTGTGGTGTATTAAGACAATGAGCGGAATGCTGTGCATATCCCACAAAGCTGTTTACTATAGTGAGAATTCCAAATTAATTCCAATTGAATTTCAAATTTAAGGTCACAATAGCCTTACTGAATTAGGAAATATCTAAGTCAGCTATCTTTCAATTCAGCTAATCTTGCCTTGAAATTGAAATTCACTTTGAATTCTCACTTTAGTTAATGGCCCTTCCAGAAACGGGTGTCCCGATGCCACATAGTTCAGTTGTGCCAGGGGTTTTGTTCCTGAAAATAAACAAAGCTGGTTTTACAAGCTAATAACACATTCATGGGGGATCTCCTGGCACCATAACATATGCAAGAAATATACTTTGATAAATAGCGCACTCTTTTCAGAGTATCTTAAATTATTTGACATACTTTAAGGATGTAGGGAAAACAAATATATATAGTAGAGAATATCTTAATAAATAACCAGGTAGCAGCAGGTGAAATCATGTAATGTTTGAATTCCATTAAAGAAGTTGGTTTCATGACTTGTATTTATATTTCTCTGTGAATCAATCGCTAAGATTCACCTAGACATTTAGACTGTTGTTACATAGGATGTAACTATCCTACTGTAACTATCTATCTATCTATCTATCTATCTATCATTTATCTATCTATCTATCTATCTATCTATCTATCTATCTGTTGTATATTGCATTAGGCATTTGCAAGGAGAAAGCAGAACAATCAGAACAATGTCTAAATATATTTGTTTTATTTACAACAAAATATGTTAAACATTGCTGTGTGCTTGGCTTTTTAGATAAAATTTTACTAAACATGATAGCATTTACGAAAGTATTTTTCACATGTAAGTAGTTTTTTAAATAAAATCCCCACAGTATCTGCCTTAACGCAGCACAAATTAGCATACACCGACGATACAAAAAACATGAATATTAAACATGTGATTTCACCAGTAAGTCAATGGAGACAGATCCACTCATTGTTCGTTGTGTGTTTGTTTAAAGCAAAAGACAACAAAGTGTTGGAGATAACATCAGGATGTGGAATTTGTAAACCGAGAGATGTGTTTATTTCCTCAAGCAGATGATATCAAATATAATTCTAATAATACTGTATCAGCCATTTGTTTTTGTATGAAATATAAGGTGCATACACTCTCTAGACACCTCAATCAAAGTTGGAAGAGAGCCATTTGTCCTTGCACTTTTTTTGTGACGTGATCAAGAGAAGCTGGCTGAGGGAATCCATACACCAATATATTTTGAACAAAAGTGCTTTTGTCATTAAATATTTGCCAGGTAGAATACACGATTTGCACAGTATTTAAAATATAAATGTTCATGATTGTTTGTTCCTTGATGAAAGCATAGAAAGTGTGCCATTCCCATTGCTTAGATATATCTGATCACTGATGTGTTACTTTAGTAAAAGCAAAGTTCTCCGATATGGTCCTCTTCATTCAATGAACACATAATGTTAGGAGGGATCTGGAGCCAGTTCTCTAGTAGTGTTTCTATGTGAAATGCTGCCTAGTACTCTACCATTTCTGGCATTTAAACAAATCATGATTTCATTTGGTAATCCTTTAAATGAAATGGGCTTTATTCAGCTTTTATCTTCAGTTTATACCACGTTTGTATACAGCTACCTTGGTTGGAAATATCGGTTGCTGTATTATTAAATTATGAAATTCATCGGTCTTAGCCAACCTCATAAACATAAATTGGCAAAGCAGACTATAACCTAATAAAGATATTGGCATTACATTGTGATGTATTTTATAGAGTGTGAGCGTAAATATACCAAAGCTATACATGGTAATCAGGAGGCTCACAGTGTATCAAACCCAATCAGCTAACCGTACAGAAAAAAGACACAGAAAATAGTATTATTAACCCATGTACGTTGGAACTCATGTATACATGATGGCCAGGGTGTGCACCCATACACTGCAATTGTGCATATTTGATTATAAGCATTGCATATGAAATTCATTGATTTTGCTGATAGCAGAGTTGGTGTTACCTTTCAAGCACTAGCTTTGCTGAGTTCCCCTGCAGATTCCTGCTGGTAGGGGAGGCTGAACAGGAAAATACAGCCTTCCCACATACAATCTACTGACCCCCAAATTGAACAAAGTCAACATATCACATAACCCCTACCCCCACACACAAAAGGTCACCCTGTGACATCACCCCATCACCCACACACATACACAGTTGCAATATCACATCACCAACTCCCCTAACACAGTGTAACAATATCATATCACCCCCTTCTACACACACATAATCAGTTACCCTGTCACATCACTCCCTCACCAACACACACAAACAGTCGCACTGTCACATCATGCCCCAGGCCCATACACATACTCAATCACCATATCACATCTCCCTATCCCACACACACAATCAGTCAGCCTGTTTCATCACCCCTTCCCCACCACATGCAGTCACTCTGTCACATCACTCCCAGCCCACACACATACAGTCACCATGTCCCATCACTCGCTCCTCCACACACACTCAGTCACCCTGTCACAGTCTCCCTCCTCCACCCCACACAGTCACCATGTCACATCACCACTCACACACATTCACCCTGTCACAGTCAGTCACCCCCTCACTATCCTATCACACGGAGTCACCATGTCACACTCACTCTGTCACAACCGCCCTGCCACAGTCACCCTCATAAACACACGGGCACCATTAGCTACACGCACCACTCCACAGACAGTAAACCTCATATTCATACAATCACCCCTCACACAGACAACACAGCCCCACTAAACACAATACACAGAGTAAGACTACATGCAGCCCCACATTCACACATCGCACTGCAAGCTACTCCTCCATATATTTTAATTTAATATTTTTACAACTTTGGGACAATTTTTATCATTGATATAACAAAAACATAATCCTCATATTACACTTTGACTTACTCCAGCAAACATCAATTACTGTAACTATATATCCAGCACAGTTATTCTAATATTTCACTTAGTACACTTTTACTACACACAGTTGTATCACTTACTATACAGTATTGAAACTGTCCTGTTTCTGGTGTTCTGCTAACTTGTAAAAATATGTTTTTTAACTGGCAGGGTTATATATCATATTACCTCCTGTCCCGCTAAGAGAATAAGCAGTACTACAGATGCTACTGTGGCTGTCACGAGTAAACAGTGTTAACTAAATTATATTAAGCTGGCATTACAGGCAGTCTAACAGTTTAAAGATTCAGGGAGAAACTATCAGCTAAATATTGGTATAATTATGTCTGGCAATGATCAAGCATTCAATGTATTAATATTTTCCACATGTTTGCTTATACTATGGAATACTGGAATCAGTTTTATGTGTTTGATATTAGTTTATGAAAAAGTTTTTGGCTCTGAAAATGGGTATTACTGGTATTCAACAGGCACATTCTCTTCTACATACATACTTATACAATTTCTCATGTAAAAAGAGCATTCTATATGTAAAACTAATAATGCAGATAGACACAGAAGAAGTGCCATTTTGATTGCACCCATCTACATACATGTATTTAAAGGGAGAACTCATAATATATACATACATATATATCTATACAGAACTTTTCTGACACTCTCCTCAAACAAAGCTCTTAAGTTACAGCCTTGATACTTAAACATGAAAAAGAAACGTGGTATAAAGGTGGCGCTATGTCACCAAATAGAACAGTGCAAATATAAAATAAAGTACAAACAAAGAGGCTACAAGTGCGCACTATAAATGCATGTGAACCAATGTGTCTCTCTTGTGCAAAATGTAATAAATATTCATAGACTGCATAGGAACTGTGTCCAATTTTTCTGCAGAAAAGAAATGCTCACAATAGTGCAATATAGTCTGTTAAATGCCATTTTGTTTATGCAGAAGAATTGGACACAGTTCCTATGCAGTCTATGTATATTTATTACATTTTGCACAAGAGAGACACATTGGTGCACATTCATTTATAGTGTGCTACCCACTTTGTTTGTAATTTATTTTAGAGCCTTGGTACTTGCCTGCACTCATACAATATTTCAATAAATGGTAGTGAGTATTGATGTCCCGAACGGTTCGCCGCAGACGGCGAACATAAACATAAAGTTTGACCCTGTACCTCACAGTCAGCAGACACATTCCAGCCAATCAGCAGCAGACCCTCCCTCCCAGACCCTCCCACCTCTTGGACAGCATCCATTTTACATTCATTGTGAAGCTGCATTCTTAGTGAGTTGTCCAGGAGGTGGGAGGGTCTTGGAGGGAGTCTGCTGCTGATTGGCTGGAATGTGTCTGCTGACTGTGAGGTACAGGTTCAAAGTTTACCGCATATGTTCGCCGTCCGTGGCGAACCGTTCGGCAAACCGTTCGGCAAACCGTTCGGGACATCACTACTAGTGAGTGCTACCATTTATTGGAATACCATATATATATTTAGAATGGAATTTTTATTTTGTATAGAGGTATTAGAAATTGTCACAGAGTGCCTCTGTAGGCTTGGCCACTATCCTTATTCACCTCAGCAGGCGTTTCTCTATTGAAGGCCGCTGGCTAGGTGACCCCGTGTGGGCCAGGACTTGTATCAATATGGCGCCACAGCTCAGGGTACCAGCACGACTTCTCCTACACCTCTGGGCACTACTGGGACAACAAGAAGGAAGGAAAAGTGTAGCATGGTTCCTCAATGGGAGTGCATCTAGGCCAAGATGGAGGTGCATAGGCAAACTGGGGTGACTTCTGCTATGAGGTCGTTGGAACAGCTCCAAGCATGCCTAGTGAGTGTCTCTTTACCTCACCACCCTATTTAAATCTACCCTCATTCCTTGCTTTGTTGTCCTGTGAGTTACTGCATTAAATGTCACAATGGTCACATATACTTTGACTTGCCTGTTACTGACTTTTGACCTGTCCTTTAACACCGAACCCTTGCCACTAGGACTGATTTACTGTTTGAATTTGCCCCACATATGTCTTTTTGTACCCTACATAACCAGCCTATATCTACCAAATGTGACAGATATTTAATTAACCTACATGACAAATATAATTCTTAACAGACCTGGATTTTATTTTATTTGTTTGTGGTGGAGGGAAGGGAATAGCTAAAATGTATTTTTTCAGAAAACCATAGAAAAATATGCCCAAAAATATAACTTTACATAAATTACAAAAATAAAAAACCTTCAAAGACAACAATAAATTATATTTATTGTACTTAACCTCTTCATATCTTCATAGAGAAAACTGACTGTAACAATATCCCATATGGTAAATTATTTTCCTAGGGAAAGTTGTAAAGTGGTTTGGTCTTTATGAGAGAAAATGCAATTGCGCAAGGAAACGCTACATATTCTTACGTGCATCTGTTTGCTATGATTTTGGAAAGAAATAGATTATGATTAATGCAGTTTGATCCTATAGGATATAAAGAATGAAGACATTTCTATCCTTTCAGCTGGAATTGACTTTTTATTAATTCCAGAACTGCAAAGAATGTAATATTTCTTGTAAAAAATAAACTGGGTTAATACAAAAACACAATAGAACTCTCAAAGCAAAATGATACCATTACCCAAAAAAAGTTTATTTTTATTTTTATTATTTCTACTTGGCTAACATAAGAAAATGGAATCTAGAATCTTTTTTAGACCTTTTGGGTGGTATTGATACATTTAAGAGGTGATGATAATGACAATCATATAGACACAGTAAGGTCAAAAACAGGCTGATGACAAATTAAGGCAAACAAGAAGATATATAAACAAAATGGAATTCAATCAACGATTATTTGAAAAAAGTTGCCAAGTATCTGTGTCTGTAATGCTATTATTTAAAAAAATATATATTGAAGGCTTTATCCAAACATGTCTGAAGTGGTCAATTATTAAGTCATTTCAGGTCAGTTTTGGCAATTAAAAGTCAGCCTTGAGAAGGAGCCTGTAGGCACCAAAATTGCTAGGAAATTAATGACCTGTTAACTCGGTTATTTTTCTCCTCTCCTACGCATAAATATAGTTGTACACCGGGACAGTAGCACACTGATTAGGAGGTTTATTAACAATATAGCCAAATAACACTAAACAAGCTATATGAGTCCCTTCTAGTTCAACTCCTTATTTTTCGTACCCTCACGCCACTCAGTATATAATGGCAACAATGCTTCTACAATATGATTTAGCATGGGTCCTGAGGATTCGCTTTTCTTGGCTGTCTCTTTTTTTTCCAATATCTTTGTTTTTTTATAAAATGGGATATAAGAAGCAAGAAAACTATTGTCAATATTTAGGGGTATACTCCTAAATAGTGTTGAAGTTTGGTTAGTTTCGTCTGCTTATATTGAATTAGCACTAAATGAGCATTTCTCATGATATATCACTCTTTGTCTATTCATTTTTTAGCTAATATAAATTCAAATAAGCTTAGTCCACTACAAGGAGGCAGGCGATAAACTATTTAGCACTAAGTTAAACAAATCGAATATAATTGATATTAACTACAATGTGATCGAGTCGTGGATTTTATAGAATGTAGAAAGAAACAGGTGGTTTGTATTAGCCAGAAACTGATTAACACAGAGAGGGCAGCTGAGGAGATAGGGTGTTACAAGTATTCAATATCTCTAGAGACAAATGAATCAGAAAATTTAGGACGGGAAACATATGCATAATGTTGTACGGCACAATAGTAAGGTATAGTATGCAGGTAATGTCAAGTAAAGCCGTTAGAATCCTAGACTGATTGGAAAGTTACAAGTAATTATAGGTCAATGTGTCAATATAACGTATACGTATATGAAAGTCATAGGTCAAATGTTATTTAAATGACAGAGAGTTTTGGCACAGGAAGTTGAGTGTTCCAGAGAGTGAAAACAGTATATCCTGCCTACTATGTTTTAAATATATTTAGCTAAGGGCTCATTGGCAAACAGAACGAGTAATGCAATTACTACACATCACTATGGTATAGTGTTCTGCAATAAGAAGATACAAAACAACAAAGTTACATAGCTGAAAAGAGACATGCAAATAACACATAATTCTCTAGTGAAAATGTACAAAAGAGAATGAAAGCAATAAACTCAGAGGGCCCTGACACTTTATTTTATAAACATTTGCAGGGGAGATCTTAGACTGCCCACCTCTATCAATCTGCCAGATGTTATACATCCAAGCACCAGTTTGTTTCTTTTATTTATTTATTTTTGCTCTGCATCTATCCAATATAGGGTTTATTCACTAAACCAGTAATTTGGTGAGTTGACAAGGAATTGCACATTTTAAGACAAAGTAACATTTTACAGTCAGGCTAATTCAGCCGTAAATTTCTGAATTCCTGGTCAGTTCTTAAACTGACCAGGAATAAACTGAATTTTCTGAAGTGTCTTGTTAATACTTTCACATCCTGGAATCTATTCCTGTAGATACAAAACCACGTATGAAGCATGGTATGTACATATAGGTAGATATCATATAGTCAATCAAGTTCACAAAGACATGAATAATGTGGGCAAAAACCTCAAAACCCATGAAACCCTGTCCGCACAATGCACTGCTGAAGAAAATGAAACTAAACTGTGTGTATTTTAGGGACTGATTCACTCACAAACCTAACCACAAAGCAATATCCATGTTATTGAGACACACATGACTATTACTAAAGTGAGAATTGTTGGGAATTTAAAGTGAATTTAAAGTGAATATAATATTTAATGTCAAAAAAGCTGAATTGAAAATCTGATTTTGCTTATTTTATGCTTCCAATTTGGCTATTGCAGCCTAAAAATGTAAATCCACTCTGAATTTCTGACGATTCTCTCTTTTGTAAATAACCCTATCAAATATATAAACTTTTCAATAAAAACTACTTAAAAAGAATTTTAAAAAACATGCAAAATGTACATTACATGAATATTGCTCACAGGTCTAAAATAGTCTTAACAGGCTTAATCACCAAACACCGGACTTTAATAAACTAAACCAGAATGGTAAGTTTAATGCTAAAACAATTATTACAGAAACATTATACAACCTTGTTATAGTCACAGCCTGGGCAATTTGCCATTCGGAATTAATTCACTCAAATTCAGCTGGTTAGTGGGTAACCCTGCGTGTGTATTGCTGTAAAATGAAATCCTGTTTTATTACATTGTGTTACATCTTTGAACGCCTTACTCCTGAGAGATACCAGACACAGTGTCACATCCTCATAGCTGTAAAGTGAAGTACTAAATATATTTAGTTTGTATGATTTTGTTGAGCAATATTGTGTTTTCAATTGTTCCATCCAGAGCAACGCACATGTGTAAATGAAGAATGTATAAAACAGTTGAGCCTTTAAACAATTGTAAACTGGTATATCAATAAGAATAGTTGAATCTGTTCCCTTAAAAGGAAAAGTATTAAGAGAATCATTTCAGGAAGCAATGGTCACGTGTTTCAAACATAAATACTACAGATCAAAGTGATATCACCATTTAAAGTAGACCGGTTATGGAGAGACTCTTACATTAATTAAGGCAGCTTAAAAACAATATGTAAACGGTATGGTCTTTTAACATTTGTTTAAATTGTTGAAAGAGGTTTGACATATTTTAGAAACACATTTTGACTAAAGTTTCCTGTCTCATGTCTGACAGCACTATGTTTCCCAGCATACAGCTGACTTCCTCATCTTCCTGGGGCTCTTTATCAATCCTTTACTCTGGTTTGTGACTGTTTTTCGACATTCATAGTTAGATGTGTGCCTTTTTATTTAGTGTAGTAGAGGGGAAATCTAAAAAAGAAAACAATTGATAGTGGTTTGCAGATTTTTTTTTTTTTTACTTTCCTTTGTTCACCACTATGTGTTTATTATAAAACATGCAAATAAAATTTAAAACTATACTTTATTTTGTATTGCTTTTTTTTTTTTTTAATTATGGGAATGCATCACTATCTCGTCAGCATGATTTAGTAGATCATGTCCCCGAGATAGTTACCATGTGCACATGGTTTATCTAATTTAAACGCATAATATAGTTAACTCTTGGCACAATCTACTAAACTGTGCACACAAGATAACGATATACTAGATCACAGGGCCAAACCCGTGGCAACGCTCCGACCCCGCGGCTCTCGCAAGACTTACAGTGGGAGCTGACCGGCACGGAGATGAAGGGAGCTGACAGGAGCTGCAGGAAAGGTAAGTTACAGCTCTCTGCCAGCCACCAACAGGACCGCCGGGCTTGTAATGAGCCCGGTGGTCCTGGTCTGTATTATGGCAATGTAAGTTGCCATAATACAGATGGTGACTCGAGTATAAGACGAGTGGGGGGTTTTCAGCACAAAAAATGTGCCGAAAAACTCATCTTATACTTGAGTATATACGGTATATGTTTCTACAATAGGGTTACTTGATCTTCAGATTTTTATTTGAACACTTTCAGTGCCGTGTGGGGGTGCAGAGCAAATTTTAACATAGATGAACTTATTGCGTATGACAGTTTTATAATTCCCCAAAAAGAAAATAATCAAAAACAATGGTTTCTAACATTGAATGTATTGTAGTGTAACACATTTGATTGTTTTTGCAAATTTATATACCAAATGTATATCATTCCCGATGCTTGTGAGTAAATGGAATGATTTTGTAAGATAAAAATATTAATTATGTTTTTCTAGGTTTTCACCTGCAATCTTCTGTTACTTGATTTCCATAGCACCGTCTCTCTGGCTTCTTGAACTAAATCACTCAGAGGTAATGTATTCAATATAATACCATAATATATGATATTATTGTAATTAATAGAAAATAAATATTTTCTTTTAAAGATTTTTAAAAAAAAAATGTATAATGATATTGGTACCTTACAGTAATATGATTGATTTATGCGATGGAACTTTGTCTTGGTATTCAAAAAAGGTGGACTCAAGCCTTGTCAAATATTGTCATGCCCTCAGCTGTCTCAAGTGATGGCTGAGGAGAAAAGTCTCTGTTTAGGGAGGATCTCGCGAAAATCAGCTGCGATGTCACCAAAGGAGGTCTTTGTAAACCATGCAAAGACTCCAGGCGGTGACAGAGAAACTTAATATTTGAAAAATTTACTTTTATCACACATAAGCTTCAACACAGAACATGAAGATGTAACAAGGGTATTCCTGGTCAGTACAAGATAATCAAGTAAGAAATATGTTAAAAGCTACTGAAAGTATGTTGTGTGAAGTACAATTGCATTTTTCATAGGTGTAGTCAAACAAATGCAAACATAAAAGTAATACAATGTACAGTATATAAAATGGCAGTATCGAAAGACCCAAGAATACATTTTGCAAAACACCCTTTCTGTAATGAAATGTATTCTTGTATGTCGTTCACTTTCTTATTAAATCGATTGATACTAATTTATTATTATTATTATTATTATTACAATTAGTTGACAGATCTCTATCGTGTTTGGCTGCAGTTAGTCTAGTCTTGCATATGGAAAAATTAAATAATTAGGATAGGATGGTTAACCCCTACATTATCAAGCGGTTTGCAGAAAAAAATCCCACAATTCCCCACAATCCGAGTACTTTGGCTGTCCTGGAAAGTAGTGTTTAAATTTACTTTTCATTTCAGTTCTCCAAAATATCGCATTATTTAATGGAAACAAAAAAAAACATTTTTTTATCTGGATTGCAAAAATTAATTGACCAATTCATGAGGTTACAGAAAAAAAGAGTTTTAAATAAATAACTTTTCTTAATATGTAACACAGGCTTATTTCCTCACATCTATAATCTTCGTCTATAATCCTCTTACCTATGCATTGTGTGTATATATATCCCGATGTATATTGTATATGTTTCCACATTACAATAACATTACCTATAGCATATCACCCTCACATTGCAGCCATGTTGCCACTTTGGTCACACGCAAATGCCCACATACACACACTGATACATGCATGCATATATACACTTTGATATATGCACATACTTACACTCGATACAGGCCTACACAACCACACTCTGATACACACACATACACACTGATGTACACAGACACAATGACACACAGACACTCCCACATTCATTGACAGATAGAGTCACACAATCACAGTGCAGTGGCGGATCCAGAGACTGATCTCGGGAGGGGCTCTTTTATATTATTTAAAGAAATAATCCATGCACAATAACCACTACAGCTCTGTGTAGCGGTTATTGTGCCGGGACCCCCTCCCAGAGTAAGTAGTCAAACCGTTTAAGAACAGTTTGACAACTTACAGTGTATGGGGGCAGTGTATGTGTATGGGGGCAGTGTGTGTATGGGGGGCAGTGTGTGTATGGGGGGACAGTGTATGTGTATGGGGCAGTGTGTGTATGGGGGCAGTGTGTGTGTGGGGCAGTGTGTGTGTGTATGGGGTAGTGTGTGTATGGGGGGCAGTGTATGTGTGGGGGCAGTGTGTGGGGGCAGTGTGTGTATAGGGCAGTATGTGTATAGGGGCAGTGTCTGTGTATGGGGGCAGTGTATGTGGGGGCAGTGTATGTGTATGGGGGCAGTTTTATGTGTGTGTGGGCAGTGTGTGTATGGGGGCAGTGTATGTGTGGGGGGCAGTGTATGTGTATGGGGCAGTATGTGTGTGGGGGCAGTGTGTTTGTATGGGGCAGTGTATGTGTGTGTGGGGGGGAAGTGTGTGTGTGTGGGCTGTTTATGGGGGGCAATGTGTGAATGTGTGGTTAGGAGGGTAAGGGGGCATTTTGATAAAAATAAATAATGTATAGAATTAAATAAATGTATGTCCCTCCCTTCTTACCTTTACTGGGAGGAGGGGGGACATATTTCGATCCCTGGTGGTCCGGTGGGGAATCCCTGGAGGTCCAGTGGTCAGAGTGAACTCCATGCTCACGAGAGGAGGACCAGGCGGAGCTGCAGGCTGAGCTCCCGGGTCCTCTCTCCCTGCCCAGCCGGCTGCCAGCACGGTTCCTGCGGACCGGGGAGGGAGATCTGTGGCAGAGGAGAATCTCGGGGGTGGGCAATTGCCCCGTTTCCCCCCCCCGGATCCACCAGTGTCACAGTGTGTATCTGGAAGTGTGTATTGGTACCTGTGTGTGCATGTCTGGCAGTGTGCCTAAGATTGTGCATCTATCAGTGAGTATCATTGTGAGTATCAGAAATGTGAGTGATAAAAATAAAACAAGGTTAATAAAACATGGGCAGCTACACACCACCGAGAGCAACTTCAAACTGGGAAGGAGAGCGGCTCACCCATGAACCCTTGAAGCTGCATAACCGTGGCCGGTAACTTTAAAAAAGGCCAAAGTAATCTTAAAGGCACAGCAACTAAACAAGTGAAAAGAAGGAAATAACAGCGAAACGTCTACGTGTTTCGTCTCCAAGGTGAGACTTTATCAAGACATGGGCAAATGAGACAAATGCTCTCTTATTTACCCTGTGAGTAGGCACAATCAAAACCTGAATAAAAAGAGACATGGAATCTGACAAACATATAATAAACATACAGTATAATATGTTTTAATCCATAAATAAAAAAAAACAGTGTACCACAAAAATAAAAATAATATTAATGAATCTGACGTGCTAAAAACTATTTTTTTTTTAAATATCAATATCTATGACCAAAAAAATAAATATATACAGTATCTCACAAAAGTGAGCACACCCCTCAAATTTTTGTAAATATTTTATTTATTTTATTATATCTTTTCATGTGACAACACTGAAGAAATTACACTCTGCTGCAATGTAAAGTAGTAACTGTACAGTCTATATAACAGTGTATATTTGCTGTCCCCTCAAAATAACTCAACACACAGCTATTAATGTCTAAACCGTTGGCAACAAAATGAGTATACCCCTAAGTGGAAATGTCCAAATTGGGCCCAATTAGCCATTTTCCCTCCTTGATGTCATGTGACTCGTTAGTGTTACAAGGTCCCAGGTGTGAATGGGGAGCAGGTGTGTTAAATTTGGTCTTATTGCTCTCATACTCTCTCGTACTGGTCACTGAAGCTTCAACATGGCACCTCATGGCAAAGAACTCTCTGAAGATCTGAAAAAAAATGATTATTTCTCTACATAAAGATGGCCTAGGCTATAAGAATATTGCCAAGACCCTGAAACTGAGCTGCAGCACGGTGCGTAAGACCATACAGCGGTTTCACAGGACAGGATCCACTCAGAACAGGCCTCGCCATGGTCGACCAAAGAAGTTGAGTGCATGTGCTCAGCGTCATATCCAGAGGTTGTCTTTGGGAAATAGACGTATGAGTGCTGCCAGCATTTCTGCAGAGGTTGAAGGGGTGGGGGTCAGCCTGTCAGTGCTCAGACCATATGCCGCACACTGCATCAAATTGGTCTGTGTGGCCGTTGTCCCAGAAGGAAGCCTCTTCTAAAGATGGAGCACGAAAAAGCACGCAAATAGTTTGCTGAAGACAAGCAGACTGAGAACATGGATTGCTGGAACCATGTCCTGTGGTCCGATGAGATCAAGATAAACTTATTTGGTTCAGATGGTGTCAAAAGTGTGGGGCGACAACCAGGTGAGGCGTACAAAGACAAGTGTATCTTGCCTACAGTAAAGAATAGTGGTGGGAGTGTCATGGTCTGGGCCGGCACTTGGGAGCTACAGTTCATTGAGGGAACCATGAATATCAACATGTACTGTGACATACTGAAGCAGAGCAGTATTCGGAGACTGGGCCACAGCGCAGTATTACAACATGATGAAGACCCCAAACACACCTCCAAGACAACCACTGCCTTTCTAAAGAAGCTGAAGGTAAAGGTAATGGACAGGCCAAGCATGTCTCCAGGCCTAATCCCTATTGAGCATCTATGGGGCATCCTCAAACGGAAGGTGGTGGAACGCAAGGTCTCTAATATCCACCAGCTCCGTGATATCATCATGGAGAAGTGGAAGAGGACTCCAGTGGCAACATGTGAAGCTCTGGTGAACTCCATGCCCATGAGGTTTAAGGCAGTTATGGAAAATAAATGTGGCCACACAAAATATTGACACTATAGGCCCAATTTGGACATTTCCACTTAGGGGTGTACTCACTTTTGTTGCCAACGGTTAAGACATTAAAGGCTGTGTGTTGAGTTAATTTGAGGGGACAGCAAAATTACACTGTTATACAGGCTGTATACTTGCTACTTTACATTGTAGCAGAGTGTCATTTCTTCAGTGTTGTCACATGAAAAGATACAATAAAATATGTACAAAAATATGAGGGGTGTACTCACTTTTGTGAAATACTGTATGTTAAAAATGGATCTAACTTGCTGCAATGAATATTTTTAAAATCTTAATCAGAATATATAAAATGCACCAAATAACCACATTAGTGACCTAAACGTCCTTTACACCAATGGCACAAAACTTAGCCCAATACATTAAATGAAAAAACATTTCTATTTTTATTATTTAAAAATACTTTAAATTGGATCTATTTCCTCATTTAAACCAATAAGGGCTTAATGCCTTCATTTTAAAGATCCATTTAGATTCAGCAACCAGTGCTCTCTTTCTTTTCACCAAATCTCTCTTAAGGGGGTATCCATTCTATTCCCATGACAAAAATACAAGCAGGATTATCATGGACCAATTCATGATGGCATGCCACTGATGATTTTTTATCTTTATATAGGATGCCAAGCGGTGCTCTCTAAATCTTACTTTTAAGGATCTGGTCATCTGCCCCACATAATGTAATCCACATATGCAAGTTGATAAATAAACCATATAAGATGTGTTGCTGTTAATTCTTCTTGAGACTACAAATTTGTCACCCCCAAGGATAGGTCCAATATATGCAGTTTTATGACATATGAAGTTGCATGTCAAGCAGCTCGATTTCCCACAACAGAAGTTCCCGATTGTCAACTGCATCGAGGACTGAGAACCAGACCTTGATACATATTTGGAGAGGGGTAAAATGGTTTTTAGGTTTTTACTTTTTATGAAGGTAACCCTGGGGATATTGGGAATGTTAAATTTTCACTATGGGTGTAGTTATAGAATGGGCCAATGTTTGTATAAAATCCCAATGATCTCATCATAAGCTTCATTAAAATAAGTGCATACAAATCCAGCCTTTATTTTCTAGAACATTCTTAGTGCTAATGTTCAATCTGTTTCTGGTTCACTCTTTCATTGTATCGCCAGCATTAAGTAATTCTAAAATCGCGTAATGATAGTTAGAGTGTGAAATACAAGGACTGGGAAATGCATGTCTTTCATCACCAGTACTCTTAATACAACCTTCTCTTGACATATTTCTCACTTTATTATAATCTACCTTAATCCCTGACTTAAAGTAAATGATTCCTACTCAAAATTCTTCAAAAATGATCAATTTCTACAAATATGCATGAGTTGTTCCAATGGAATGTTGTCCACTGGAAGCATGGAGGAAGCCATTAAAGTCAACTATATTTTGAAATGTTTTGGTGAAAATATCCTCTGCATCTCCACTGAGGGATAGGTTCAAAAATTTGATAGTGGACCTCATCAATGAACTGGCAATAATAATCCCTTACTAAATAAGCGTAAGATGGAGCAATGCTCACCTCCATCGCTGTGCCTTTGACCTGCAAATAATATAAAATAAAACTTGCGTCCACTTGCTCATGGTGGAGGAGTGGATTTGAAAACAAATAGCTATGCAAGGCTTGCAGTCTGATAGTATGACTAATATTGGTATACAAGGCTGGTATGCATCAATAGTTAGCCAACTAAAATTCTCTTCCTTCCCACATCTTTAATCAAAGAGAGTAAATGTCCTCTAATTCTAATACAGGAGGGTAGGTTATTAACATACTGTTGTAGATGGAAGAATACCCATTTGGACATACGGACTGTATGCGACCCAATAGATGACATTATAGGATGTCCAGGGGGATTCTCAAGAAATGTTTAGATCTTTTATTATGGCAGATAATAAAAGATAGGTACATCACCAGGAGTTGATAGCAGGAAACCTTTTTTATTTTTATTTAGTGAGCCTCTAATGTAAACTGACTTAACCAGTGCATGCATGTTAAAATGCAAATTGTGCAGTGGGATCGACTTTCAGCTGCCGGTAGTACTCCCTATCTCCTAAAATTCTGCTAGCTTCCTTTAAATAATCTGCCCTGTTAAGCAAGACTATCCCCCCTCCCTTTATCAGGTTCCTTAATGATAATCTCGGTGTTATTTTTCAAACTTTTTAGGGCACCTTTTTACAAATTATTGTTCAGGGAGCCTTTATTTTCTTGAACAGAGATGCAAAGCTTTTTTATATCCTCTAATATGAAATCATAAAAAATAGTTATATAGTGGCCCTTATCTTCTTGTGGGTAGTAAGTGCTTTTAATCTAGAAGGAATATTTTCATTTATAACCTGCAGGGCTTCACCCTTCAGTTCACACTCCTCCTGTGCATTTAAGCGATCCTATCTTTGGGGCTATTGCAATGTTTTAGACAGTGTTCCAGACTATTGGCTTCCTTCAAATTGAAGGATCTAGTAAGTGTAAGTTTTCTCACAAAAAGATTCAGGTAAATAACTCAAGGGCATTAGGCCCTCTAGAGGGAGCAACATGTAAATCCTTAAGACAGTTTTAGTCTAATTTGCCCATGTCTTGATAAAGGCTTATGTTGGAGACGAATAGAATAGATGTTTGGTTGTTATTTCCTTCTTATCACTTGTTTGGTTACTGTGTCTGTAAGATTACTGAGGCCTATTTTGAAGTTACCAGCCGTGGATATCTAGTTTCAAGGTTGAGCAGCTCTCCTTTCCAGTCTGCTGCTGGTGCCCCATCTGTGCATCCTGAAGATTGACTGTGCCTATACTGGGGCTTTGAATCAAGCAAGGCAGTCTGGGACGGAGCTATTGGTGCCTAAGGGGAGATTCCCTCTACATCATCTGGTCTTGCAGATCTCAGCATTTTTGGGGGATTTTTTTTTTTGTAGTGAAAAATCTCTCTAGGAACAAGTACATGTGATGTGCAGCTGTCTCACCCCGTTGTGGACACAGACTTTGAGTCCCTATTTTATAGGCATAGAGTTATGAATTACAATATTGCTATTGATACAACTCATATATGTTTTATGTATGTGATTTATCTTTACAATGGCATTGTTTTGTTTTAGTTGCAGAGAGCAATTGAGCATTTAATGGATGTATCCTTTGCTCATTGACGCTAGTTTATTTTTTCTTTGCTGATTTCAGCATTGCTACTGTCATTTAGTATGCATGGATTGTTTCTATCCTTCTGCCAGCGAGTGTTTCTGTTTCAAGCCAGTTTGTTACTTTCTGTTTTTCTGATTGTAACAATTATTTTTGGTTATTCTGTTTATGTGCTATGTAATTTGTTTTTATGTTGCTCAGTATCGTTCTATATGATTTTTATGAAATGTGTTATTGGATTGGTTTTGGTGTACACTCACTTTTCACGTTCCTTGTGAATCTCCATCCATGACTGTGCCTTCAAAGCATATCTATAACTGTGTGTGTCTGTGTATCTCTGTGTCTGTTAGGGTATGTGTTGAGAGAGCCTGCAGTGTGTTACATGTATGGGGGAGGCTACATGTGGTCTTACTGTGTGCATTGTGTTTACAGTGGCTTTGTGTTGTCTGTGTGAGGGGTGATTGTGTGAGTATGAGTGTTACTGACAGTGTGGTGGTGCTTGTGTGTTTGTGAGGGGGACTGTTAGAGTGTGGTTGTGACAGAGTGAGTGTGAATGACTTTTGCAATCAATGTGACTGTGTGTGAGGGGTAAGTGTGGGATGAACTTTGATATGGTGATTGTATGAGTATGAGTATAAGGTTTATGAGGGTGACTGTGGCAGGGTGGTTGTGACAGAGTGAATGTGAAAGGGTGACTTTGGCAATGTTACTGTGTGTGAGGGGTGGACAGTGACATGGTGACTGTATGTGAGGGAATAGTTAGGTCGGTGACATGACAGGGAGAGTGTATGGCTGAAAGCAGACAGCTCAGAATGTCCTGTTCTGGTTTCTGACCAGGAGAGAGTAATTGCCAAGTTCTGCTCTCAGTCAGAGGAAAGCCTGCACAGTGATCAGTGCAGTGCCCTATCTCCCTGCGGGCCCATGCTGCGTGGGGGACTCTGGGGCTTGAAAGGTAGCACAAACACTGTTATCAGCAAAACTATTGCAAATAAAGTTTTTTGCAATGAACAAATTTAATTTCCAATGATTCTAATCATGTATACACGATTGCTGTGTATGGGTGCAGACCCTGGCAGAGAATTGAGCAGTGAGACTGCAGGGGCATGATCTATACATCAAGGCTGCCTCATTAAGCTAAAGTTCTTTTGGTGACTGTAGTGTCCCTTTAATGTGTTAAAGAGAAGAGAGGGACCATTTTTAAATCATTTTGAAGTTTTTGAATTATACATTATACAAATCATTGCCTGGAAATTATAGACCTGTGAGCTTAACTTCTGTGGCTGGGAAAATATTTGAAAGGTTGTTAAGGGATAATATTCAAGAATTCCTTGAGAAGAACATGGTTATCAGCAAAAATCAGCACGGTTTTATGAAGCACAGGTCATGTCAAACTAACTTGATTGCATTCTACGAAGAAGTAAGTAGAAGTATAGATCAGGGTGTTGCAGTGGATGTGATCTATTTGGATTTTGCCAAGCCATTTGATACAGTTCCACACAATAGATTAGTGTTCAAACTCAAGGAAATCGGTTTAGATGAAAATGCTTGTTCTTGGGTAGAACATTGGCTTAAAAACAGAGTACAGAGAGTTGTCATAATGGTAAATTTTCAAGCTGGAAAGAGGTGGCATGTGGTGTCCCTCAGTGGTCTGTTCTGGGAGCCCTTCTATTTAACATGTTTCTAAATGATCTTGAAGACAGCATTAAAAGTCATGTTTCAGTGTTTGCAGATGACACAAAACTCTGTAAAATAATAAAATGTGAGCAAGATATTACTTTGCTGCATAGGCATTTAGATAGACTGGGGGACTGGGCACTCAAATGGCAGATGACATTTAATGTTGAAAAATGCAAAGTTATGCACTTCGGCGTAAAGAATACACAAGCAACGTATACCCTTAATGGAAGCGAATTAGGGATAACAACACACGAAAAGGACTTGGGAATTGTTATAGACAACAAACTATGCAACAATGTGCAATGTCAATCAGCAGTGGCCAAGGCCAGTAAGGTATTGTCATGCATGAAAAAGGGCATTCATTCTCGGGACGAGAATATCATTTTGCCTCTTTATAAATCACCGGTAAGACCACATATTGAATATGCTGTGCAATTTTGGGCACATGTTCTAAAGAAGGATATTATGGCACTTGAAAAAGTGCAGAAGCGGGCTACAAAATTAATAAAAGGAATGGAACATATCAGCTATGAAGAAAGGTTAACAAATTTAAACCTATTTAGTTTAGAAAAACGTCACCTGAGAGGGGATATGATAACATTATACAAATGTATTCGGGGGCCAATACAAACCGGATTTACATATGACACGAGGTCATGCGTTTAGACTGGAAGAAAGAAGATTTCGTCTAAGGCAAAGAAAAGGTTTTTTTACTGTAAGAACAATAAGGATGTGGAATTCTCTGCCTGAAGAAGTGGTTTTATCAGAGTCCATACAGATGTTCAAACAGCTACTAGATGCATACTTGCAAAAACAGAATATTCAAGGATATAATCTTTCAATGTAGGGTAATAACTGTTTGATCCAAGGATAAATATGACTGCCATTCTGTGTCAAAAAATGATTTTTTTTCCTAGCTTGTTGCAAAATTGTGATTCAAACTGTATTTTTTTGCCTTCTTTTGGATCAACAGCAAAAAACAAATGTGAGGAAGGCTGGACTTGATGGACGGAAGTCTCTTTTCAGCTATGTAACTATGTAACTATGTAACTATATTGAAAATTATATGAGGTTAATCTCAACAAAAGCTGTAACAGAGATGAGCAGTAATTCTTTGAGAGGTGTAATAAATTGCCAAGACTCTAACTACTGCAGCAGTATGAGTCCATTGTTTCTTCTCTTAAAGCCATCTGGTCTTGTATAGAGGAAATTGCTGTTCCAAATAATTTAAATGGTTTACAGCTATGTTTTTTTTTGCAATAAATACCTTTGCTATTATGAAATTGTACACACTTCACCTCTGCTTTCTGAGCAGATGCAATAAAAGTTACATTTCACATTGTGATGTGTTCTTAAAATCAATCTTAAGGACTTTTATTAAAACAAATACATTACAAAGTCTGTAAGCTTTGTAAAACAATAAGCTTTTAGGACAAGATTTAGTAAACTACAGGACTACAGCTGTTGCTGGACTAATTCTTTACTATCAAAAACCAAAAAATGTAACTGCATTCAAACCATAAATAGAGCCTGCATGCAACCAAACGTGGGGCCAGCACCAAGGCCCAAGAAGTAGTTTGTAGTCACTGAAGAAAGAAAAAGGTCCAGGCACTCTAAGACTTAGATCTGCATTTTATTGAACTACAGTGTCCAGCAGCAACGTTTCAACCCGACGGGCTTTTTCAAATTGGCCTGAAAAAGACTCTATGGTCGTAACGTTGCTACTGGACACTGTAGTTCAATAAAATACTGATCTCAGCCTTGGAGTGCCTGGACCTTTTTTTTTCTTCAGTGACAACAAGCTAATTCTTTACTGTCCACTGACCACAGCCACAGTACACAAATTAATTTCAAATTCAGCTGCTTAAGAGCTTACACTTACTGAGATTCAAGTTTCTGAATGTTTGTGTGCAGTACAATTTTGTTGTTACTTTATAAATGTATTTATCTATAGATCTTGTTTATTTGAGAACTGAATGTTTTAGAAGACACTGAATGTGGACTTTCTTTCAACACATTTTTTGTTTTCTAAATATAGAGATATTTTTATATCTAATTGAATTGTAACCATGCCAGTAGCATGATTTTATATTTACTTAAATTAAAATATCTTACCTTACTAATTTCAATTTTTTGTAGAGCTCTCTGCTCTACCTTAGAAAAACTCTGAATTCCTGTCTCATATATTTCTATAGATATTAACTAGTAATTATATGAATAGCATCAATGTCACACCAAGGGTGCATAATTCATTGTTGCACAATATAATATTACCAATTAATGTAATTATTGTAGTGCATATATGAATTGGCCACTTGGTTGCAAGGTTAGATGACAGAAGGGGTAATGTAAATTGCATAGGAATGTGAAAGGGGGCAGATGTTTAATATATGGATTGATCCTTTGATTAATCAAGGTGTGAGAAGTCACACATAAGTGGCCTGGAAGTCTGGTTTAAATTTAAATAAACTCTCTAAATTGCCATATGTCTAGATTCCCTCTTAAATTCTGCCTTTGTCTGGTAAAGAATCACGTTACCTGAAGAGACTAATTAGTGTTTTGCAATTGCTTAGATATTGTGCTAAGTTGTATTTGGTGGGTTTTATTATTAAGTTGCCTGGGGGACCAAGGCACCCCATTTATAAATTGTCTTGGTGGTGGCAGCATTAAAATAGTAATATTTATATTATTATGCTTAAGTGTGGGTGGTGTTAAGGGGGATTTTATCATTATTTCTGGTCTAGTACAGACAAATAGTGAACTTTCACCACCACAACTATGTCACGCACACTCTTGAAGTAGGGTGCATTCGTGACAATCAATATTAGAATTTTACATTTGTATTTTAAGAGGGGGTGCATTAGACGATTTTTCTAGTTTCTGTAAAAAACTAATTTCTAGAATAAACTCTCAATGCAACCATCATATTAAACAGATAAATGTGAGATGCAACAAACCTAAGGCTTATTTCTCTTAGAACTGACAACAGTTAAAATTCTTAAAATAAAGAGCTATATAGCCAGACTAGGATACATAGACTCTCCTAGAAAAAAGGGTTAATAAAATTATGTGTTTTCTTTTTTATGGATGAATTTGAATTTTGTCATTTTTTATCATATTTGGTGCATGTGTCTTATCTATTCAAAGTGTTTTGGTTTGTAAGCCTCAGAGAGTCACGTAAAGGTGTTCTTAATAATTATTAATTAATTAATTTGTATCAGCTAAAATACTAATTATAACTGCTGTCTGTTATTATTGAATTATTATTTTTTTGCCACAAGATGCGAGTTAAAGAATAATAGGAACTTGATAGCTTATATCAACTTCTACTAGGTAGGCTTTGCTTTATAAGGTTTTCGAGGCAGATGATTGTGTGTGGTCATTTGAAGAAGCAGAAAATTAAAGATCTAATAAGCCATAGATCAGGATCTGAATACCAGGAAGAAATTTTGGCATTCATTGAAAAAAATGCAACCATATATGGTCAGAAATCATTCACTGTAAATTACTGAAAGGTACCTAAGCCTTCAATAAAGAACGTACAGAACACAGTGTATTATAACAACTTGGTCGTTGAATGACTGGCCTAAATATTTGAAGAACAATGAAATACATTTAACCAATTTTAGTGAAAATAAACGTAATTGAGCAAAAGTATCACACCTAGATAACTAAAATCACCCCTAATTTAAAATAAGTTTGTTCATACTCAGCACTGTATTTAGCGCAAGGCAAACAAGGCATACGCCTAGGGCAGCACTTTCCTGAGGGGCCGCAAAAAACGCTGCCCCCAAATGCCTCAGTAAATGTCTTGTTTGGCTCATTTCATGGGGGGGGGGGGCAACTGGCCACCTTAGCCACCCCCCGAGGCACGCAGAAATACTATTTGTGTGCAGATGGCAAGGGAGGGACTTATGATACTTTTAATCTTCTTGCTCTGCTCACTCGCACTCCATGTGGGGATGCCGAGAGCTGGGATATGACACCACTCTGGCCCCGGCATCACTAACCTGCACACCAGGAGCACAGCAAGAAGATTACAGCAACCTGGACCCCACAGAAGAATCCACATGTGTGAGTGTCAGTATCAGAGTGTTTATGTGTGTGTCTGCCAGTGACTGTGTCTGTCTGTCAGTGACTGTGTGTCTTTGTGTTTGTGTGTGTGTGTGTGCCTGTCTGTCTGTCTGTCAGTGAATGTGTCTTTCAGTATGTGTGTGTCTGCCAGTGAGTGTGTGTGTGATCATGACTCAATAATACAGATAGCAGTATTTATCAAGGTTTGGCATGATCAATTATGCATCAAAATGTGTATAATACTTGTGGAACTGTTATTTGGAACTCATCCTCAGGTGAATGAAGAGAATTGATACTGTCACTTTAAGAAAATAATATTTATTGAACTATAGCAATTTTGTTTTGGCAATCTTCTGATGTCTTCAATCTGAATAACGTTTGGCAAAAAATTGCTTCAATCTGAAAAACGTTTGACAAAATTAAATTGGCAACTCCTTAATTAGGAACATATAATAAAGTTATTTTAACTTCAGCAATAACAACACAAAGCTAATTCGTGTTAGAAAATGAATGAGTCCTTTAGGTTCTGGTAGAAGTAAATAATGAATAGGTCTTGATAGGAGATGTGTAGCTGAATCCCAGAGGACAGACAATTATATTCCTTCTTATCCTTCCCAATAACTTCAGGTGCAAACCAATTAATAATCCCTAGAACTGGAGAACTTAATTTGCTTACATTGAATGATGTGCCTTGAAGTTAATTTCAGTAATGATGAGGGTTATGGTTCCTTGAAGTATGTAGAGGAATAGAGGAAGTGGTGATGTCTGTTCCGAAGTCTGGGAGTGGAGAGGTCAGCGTAGTCAGGAGTAAGCCAAAAGGTTTGGTAGACGGAGAAATTAATAGTCAAGCTCAGACGACAATCTGCAACAAAGTAGTAAGTATGCAAGAGACACAAATTTATTGAGCAATTTTGATTAGTTCATGGCTTCCTTTTCAAAGGGAAGCGCGTGACTTGAGACTAATGGGCGTAGTCAGATCGGTGAAACCCGGAAGTCGTATGGGTAATGCCGATCAAAAAGAAAGATATGAGGGAATCCTGACAGTGTTTATGTAATGCAACTGTTCATTGTTTTAAATGTAGCTTAGAAAATATTCTCATTGTGCTTTGGTAAATACAGACTACCGAATTTTAGAATTTGTCACAAATCTGTTTTAAAAAGACACTTCTCTTTTCCTGTTACTATTTTTGAAGAAATGTTTTATTTGATAATATTTTGAAAGAATATGTTCCATGAAACCTTATTATAAATACAATTAGAAAACATCTGGACATGTACAGATGGCTAATGTGTATGAACAGAAGCCTTTTATGATTGTGTGATAATGTTATTTTTACATCTATATGAAATGCTTGGAAGTTTGCATAAAAATTTAAGGTTGTCAATAACCAAAGCAATAAAATGCAATACAAACATACAAGTAATATGTTCATTCAAATTCCATGACATTTTCTACTTAATCAGGATAAAGTAATGATAATAAATAATCAGAGCACATAATATTATGACAAGTAAATTATTTAATTTTCTGGCAAAAATACATTTTATATTTTGTATTATTTAGCTGGTTGATCTACATGATGTGCAATGGCAGTATTGTTTAATGTGGAAAGATCAACTTAAAAATGCCTTTATAAAGTATACCTTTTTGCTCCATGTTTATGGTAAAACCATAATATTCATAATTATTATAAATTATTCAAGAAAATTCAAACACTTGATCTGATATGCACATCCTGGTGTAATTATGCATTTATATTATTTTTCAGTTGTGCCGTGCAAATAATTCTACAGAAAGCCCATTGGGTATTATAAACAGTTCTTATCTCATAGCTGACACAGTTGTGATTCCTCTGGAATTCGTTAAACCGGTAAGAAACTCACAGTAGATCTGCAAATGTTTCTTGACGTGCTGTCTCCCAATGGGGTTATGTGATAGATACATCTCTTACATAGCTCATATCATATGTACCCATCTATCTTTCATTCTATGTTTCATTGTCAAGTTTCATTGTATGTTTCATTGTAAGTTAATTATATCTATGTTCTCCAGGTTGTGTTTCTGTGTCATACTTACTACCATATAGAATGATACCCATATGTACATCTTTCTTCTTGATCTTGATCAAGTGCCTTCTGGTATTTCTTCTTGATAATCTGAAAGGGAACAAATTACAATTCGTCCATATGCTTCACCCCAACACTCAAACTTTTCTTATCATTTCTGACATCACAACCAGTCAAGCTCAATACAACAACGAAAATAGTAGGAACTGAAATCATTCAATGGTGTAGATATTGGGTGCAACCAGACCAGGGGATAGCACAATCTCCAACAGGTTTAGTCCAGAAAAAAAGAAAGGTCTAGGCATTCCAATACTCAGCAAGTCACATTTATGGAAATAAAGTTGTTAGCAAACATTTTGATTATTATTATTATTTATAAAGCACCAGCAAGTTCCGTAGCACTGTACAATGGGTGGACTAACAGACACTATTTGTAACCAGACAAGTTTGACGACAGGAACAGAGAGATTGAGGGCCCTGCTCAATGAGCTTACATGCTAGAAGGAGTGGGATAATGTGGCCTGCACTGCAGACAGCCAGTCACTCTAATCACTAAAGCGCCACCGCGATCGGCTGTAGCCTGGGTCGAAGGATGAAATTCTGCCCCCCACCTCTCCCAAACCTCACACACATCCAGGAGATGCAGTGTGTGTAACGTATGTAGTGTGTATAATGATTGCATTGTATGCATGTGTATGGTCGACACAGAGTGTGTGTGCAGTGGATGCAATGTATGTGTGGATGTAGTGTAGTACATGCAGTTTCTTTCTAGTAGACGTTGTGTAGTGGGTGCAGTGTCAGTGTTTGTGTAGTGGGTGCAATGTCTGTGTAGTGGGTGCATTGTCTGCATTTGTATAGTTGAAGCAGTGTAGTGTGTGCAGTGTCTGTGTAGTTGATGCAGTGTAATGTGTGCAGTGTCTGTGTTTGTGTATTGTGGATGCAGTATCTGTGTGTAGTGCATGTAGTGTGTATGTAGTGGATGCAGTGTCTGTGTGTAGTGCATGAAGTGTGTGTAGTGGATTCAGTGTCTGTGTGTAATGCATGTAGTGTGTGTAGTGGATGCAGTGTCTGTGTAGTGGATGCAGTGTCTGTTTGTATTTCATGTAGTGTGTGTAGTGGATGCAGTATATGTGTGTAGTGCATGCAGTGTGTGTAGTGGATGCAATGTCTGTGTGTAGTGTATGTAGTGTGTGTAGTGGATGCAATGTCTGTGTGTAGTGAATGTAGTGTATGTATTGGATGCAGTGTGTAGTGCATGCAGTGTGTGTAGTGGATGCAGTGCCTGTGTGTAGTGCATGTGTGTGTAGTGGACGCAATGCCTGTGTGTAGTACATGCAGTGTGTGTAGTGGATGCAGTGTCTGTGTGTAGTGCATGTAGTGGATGCAGTGCCTGGTTTAGTGCATATAGTTTGTGTGTAGTGGATGTAATGTCTGTGTGTAGTGCATGTAGTGTGTGAGTAGTAGATGCAGTGTCTGTGTGTAATGCATGTAGTGTGTGTAGTGGATGAAGTGTGTAGTGCATGCAGTGTGTGTAGTGGATGCAGTGTCTGTGTGTACTGCATGTAGTGTGTGTAGCGGATGCAGTGTCTCTGTGTTGTGCATGTAGTGTGTGTGGTGGATGCATTGCATGTGTGTAGTGCATGCAATGTGTTTAATGGATGCAGTGTCTGTATGTATGGTGTGTAGTGGATGCAGTATCTGTGTGTAGTGCATGTAGTGGATGCAGTGTCTTGTGAGAGGTGATTATTTTTTTTAATTATGATTAAGTGTATTCCCCCCTCCCTGCCTCTTACCTGTGATCAGGTAAGTGACACATTTTGCTGTGTCCTGTGGAGAGGAGGCCGAGACGTCTGATTTTTCCCTCCTGCAGCTTCCTGTCATCTTCTCTCATGAGCTGAGTAAGCGTTGCCACAGGTTGCTATGGCAAAGCTCCGCGCAACAACGCTCTTGTGGTGTTACGAGAGGAGAAGACAGGAAGCTGCAGGAGGGAAAAAATCAGACGTCTCGGCCTCCTCTCCACAGGACACAGCAAAATGTGTCACTTACCTGATCACAGGTAAGAGGCAGGGAGGGGGGAATACACTTAATCATAATTAAAAAAAAATGCCACCCCTGTAAAAGTACCGCCTGGAGCCGTAACCACACTGCTGCCAATGAACAGGCCGGCCCTGCAGACAGGGCAGGCCAGCTGCAAATGTATTCATTGTGGGCCAGAAGCTTGGTTTACAATGTACTTTATTAATGCATTCCCTACTTAGTTCCTTTTCATGTTTTATGTATTGTAACCTTTTTTTTTTTTTACAGGTAGAAGATATAGTTAAGACATTGACCAGCATTTGCCAAAGTACTTGGACACTAGGACTCCACCAAACGTTTCTATTGCTTTTAGTTATTGGGAAATGGCTTCTTCCAATTGGAGGGGGAATCACTCGTGATCAACTTTCCCAACTTCTTCTTATGTTTGTGGGCACTGCAGCAGACATCCTTGAATTTACTAGCGAGACTCTGGAGCATGTAAGGTATGGCCAGTATACATAGCTTCAAAAATAGAGATTAATTTGTATATTAACAATGACACACATTTAACCCATTCCATCTCAACAATGTATATACATAAGCTAACTTTTGTTTTCCATTGCATGATTTACTTCCTCTTTGCTCCAAAGCGGTTTAACACCCTGCAGAGAAACAAATTAATGGAAAATTAAGGGTGCATTCATTTCAAGTTTGTACTTATCACGATGCAAGCAAAGAAAAAAAAATGCTAATGAGTAAAATTGAAGAGGCAGAATATATGTCTACAGAGCAGGCTAAAGCAGTAAATAACAAAATATATATAAAAAAAAAAACTAATAAAAAAGGTAACTTCAGAAATATTTCATATACTTAATAAACGCACCTATAAGTTTCTAATAACAATAATTAAAAAAAAAAAAGAGCCACATTTTTTATAGTTGCACGGAACATTGTTTGCTATAGAAAACACCAATATTAATAATGTATGCATTATTTTAAATGTAATAGACAATTTTATAGCATTTTTATTCAACTAAACCAACATAAATGTCATTCTATTAAGCAGTGCTCCCCAACCATCTCCTCGAGGCACACCTAAAAGTCCAAGAGTTAGGGATTACCAAGGTATGCCTAAACCCTAAATATAGGACTGCTTAAGTTGCCTTGAAGAGAGGGTTGAGGAGCACAGCTATAAAGCACCACAAGGGTTTACCTAAAAAATAGTGCTATGCGTGACAAAGATTCACTCTTAAATCGAAATATTGCCAGGTCAGCAGGCTGTAATAAAGGCACATTTACTACTTTAAAACAACTAAAATACTTATATGTACTTCAGGTTATTATTTGACCGTACTTTTGTATGTTTCCTTTTATTTTCAATAAAATAGGCAAATGATTTAGATATGTCTTCAGTGCATTAAATAAAAGTTTCATGTCAATATAGTTTTATTGTTCTGCAAATACATAATAGAAATTCACGATATTTATTATGTATACTGTAAAATATAAATGTTGCTTTTTCATATAGTTTTGGGATTTGTTTTGACATAAATATATTCAATTTATTTTCCAGAACCAACATGATTCTAGTTTATTCAATTCTTGCAGTATGGACATGGAGTATGCTACAATTTCCTCTTGACCTTGCAGGTACATAGTGTATTCTGATAAACTATTAATATTAAAGCCACTACACAAGAAACTAATAGAAAATAAAAACACATTCTTACTCAGAATGCATTGAATCCGTTTTATCAAAACTGTTATACAGTCAGAAATGAAATTCCATGTGCACATATGCCTTTTGATGTTATAGACAGTCAATTATTTTTTGACGTGGCCTGTTTTGGTGATTTTCTTGTTTCTTGTTTATTTTATTTAGATTTAAATTTGGTAATAACATGTTTTTGTAAATTCCTGCACAAATACAGGGAGTGCAGAATTATTAGGCAAGTTGTATTTTTGAGGATTAATTTTATTATTGAACAACAACCATGTTCTCAATGAACCCAAAAAACTCATTAATATCAAAGCTGAATATTTTTGGAAGTAGTTTTTAGTTTGTTTTTAGTTTTAGCTATGTTAGGGGGATATCTGTGTGTGCAGGTGACTATTACTGTGCATAATTATTAGGCAACTTAACAAAAAACAAATATATACCCATTTCAATTATTTATTATTACCAGTGAAACCAATATAACATCTCAACATTCACAAATATACATTTCTGACATTCAAAAACAAAACAAAAACAAATCAGTGACCAATATAGCCACCTTTCTTTGCAAGGACACTCAAAAGCCTGCCATCCATGGATTCTGTCAGTGTTTTGATCTGTTCACCATCAACATTGCGTGCAGCAGCAACCACAGCCTCCCAGACACTGTTCAGAGAGGTGTACTGTTTTCCCTCCTTGTAAATCTCACATTTGATGATGGACCACAGGTTCTCAATGGGGTTCAGATCAGGTGAACAAGGAGGCCATGTCATTAGATTTCCTTCTTTTATACCCTTTCTTGCCAGCCACGCTGTGGAGTACTTGGACGCGTGTGATGGAGCATTGTCCTGCATGAAAATCATGTTTTTCTTGAAGGATGCAGACTTCTTCCTGTACCACTGCTTGAAGAAGGTGTCTTCCAGGAACTGGCAGTAGGACTGGGAGTTGAGCTTGACTCCATCCTCAACCCGAAAAGGTCCCACAAGCTCATCTTTGATGATACCAGCCCAAACCAGTACTCCACCTCCACCTTGCTGGCGTCTGAGTCGGACTGGAGCTCTCTGCCCTTTACCAATCCAGCCACGGGCCCATCCATCTGGCCCATCAAGACTCACTCTCATTTCATCAGTCCATAAAACCTTAGAAAAATCAGTCTTGAGATATTTCTTGGCCCAGTCTTGACGTTTCAGCTTGTGTGTCTTGTTCAGTGGTGGTCGTCTTTCAGCCTTTCTTACCTTGGCCATGTCTCTGAGTATTGCACACCTTGTGCTTTGGGCACTCCAGTGATGTTGCAGCTCTGAAATATGGCCAAACTGGTGGCAAGTGGCATCGTGGCAGCTGCACGCTTGACTTCTCAGTTCATGGGCAGTTATTTTGCGCCTTGGTTTTTCCACACGCTTCTTGCGACCCTGTTGACTATTTTGAATGAAACGCTTGATTGTTCGATGATCACGCTTCAGAAGCTTTGCAATTTTAAGAGTGCTGCATCCCTCTGCAAGATATCTCACTATTTTTGACTTTTCTGAGCCTGTCAAGTCCTTCTTTTGACCCATTTTGCCAAAGGAAAGGAAGTTGCCTAATAATTATGCACACCTGATATAGGGTGTTGATGTCATTAGACCACACCCCTTCTCATTACAGAGATGCACATCACCTAATATGCTTAATTGGTAGTAGGCTTTCGAGCCTATACAGCTTGGAGTAAGACAACATGCATAAAGAGGATGATGTGGTCAAAATACTCATTTGCCTAATAATTCTGCACTCCCTGTATATATTTGACCTGCTGTTTTGCTTTCTACGAGCACAACAAGAAAAAAAAATAAAAAAGAAAAAAAAAAATATATATATATATATATATTAACAATTACTTACATTTGAAGCAGCTCACAAAGTATTTTTGTTTCACACAAGAGACAGATATCCTTTGGCCCTTTATCTATTATTTACCTATAACTTCAATGTTGCTTCATCCACCTTTTGTGTTGCACAAAGTTCAGTGTTTGTTTCAGTTTCAAAAACATAAGAAAGAGAATAATGTCTATTTTTTATACTGTCCACATATATTGGCATATATGGACTTTGGATGTAATAACTTAGAATGAAGGCTATTGTGATCGATATTTTGACTAATTTACTTATCACTCCATTTCTGGCACAGCATCCAAGGTGCTGCACAAATAGGATATTTACAAATGCCTCTGATTATTCATGTTTAAAATATTAAACTTGTTAATGAGATGATATATGATCACTATAAACCTTTATATTTTTTTTTCTGTATATTTTGGAAACTCACAAAAAAGACATGAGTCTGAATATTTTTTTTTTCTTTACTGGTGTTGTCATGATTCCAAACAATAAACAGAGAATTGCAATTTGAAAACTAAATTTTAAAAAATTATACAAAAAAATGATGAGTTTTGCAGTTCAGTTTTCAGTTTATTATATTTATGTGTTCAGTGGATAAACCCTGATGTGTTATGTTTTAATCTCGTTTTAACTGTTGAATTGCTTAATGCTTTGTTTTCTGTATTATTATTTCTTCTAGTGCAAAATGTTGGATGCCTGCCAACTACTACATCATCATCCAAAAAGCCGTTCTGCTTATTGTTGTACAGATACAGTGCAGACATTTGGAATATAGGGCAAAGCCTTTTGATTCAAGATGGTCCATTTTTTATTTGCAGGATGGTTCTCATGGTCCATTTTAAAGTCATTAACCAGATGCTGGTATTTTTCACCGCAAAAAATATTTTGGTGGTGATGTTACAGCTTTACCGTTTTGTAGTGCTATTAATTGACTTCTACGGTTCAGTGGAGGATCAAGAAAGTAAGAAGAACGGAGCAGAATGCTGCTGTCCACAAGATTCCATGATAGAAGATACTCATAGATACCAAGACGAAACAGTTGTAGATCTCGAAAGTGAAGCAAAGAGTTCAGAAAGCACAGGTTCTGTTACTCTGCTTCAAGACATAAAATCGGACTCGGAACGCCTGTAGACATTGAATTCTATTATTGTATTTGGTGCTATTTCTAAGTCAACCAAACTGTTAATAAGGTAGTAGAGTATGTTCCAAAACATTGCAGTTTTTTTCACAAAAATATTTATATTAATTGCAAAGGGATATTATACCTCGTTATAAACATTACTATAATGTGATCAGAAAGACTTCGATACTGAATACGGAGGAAATTGGTGGGCAAAGAAACTATTCTTGTTATATCTCTTGTAGACAAAAGTCTTGTCTGCGTTTTCCACACCTTGGCTATTTTCAAACATACATGCTACCATTTGTCCATTCAAGCAAAATCATGGACAGAACATGTGGAATATCAAAAGAAGAATTATATTTTGAGAGCATAGCTTGAAACAACTCCACCGGAAGAGAAGATGGAACAAAAATCTTGCTGTAATTAAATTACTGTACATCATTAAGGGCAGTGGACTTTCCAAGTGAAGTAATACTCTTGTTTGTATTATTTGTAAGATATTCTTGTTACTATTAGCACTGCGGTCAAAGTGAGACTTAAAGAACCATATTGTCTTAAATATGGAATTTGATGTAATTAAACGAACTGTCAATTAAGAAAATGAAGGGTAAGACAATGGGAGATGGTATGAAATAAGAATAAAATCAGTATATAGTGAAATAGTGTTATAAAAATAATATTCGTGGTGAAATGTCACTCAAAACTAAAACAAGTACACCTTAATCCCTCTAGATTCACTTGTGCAGCTTTGAATTCCGAGAACAAATGTAATAGACAAGATTTCCATCAATGAATCACAAGCAATAACAGGCAGAACATGAGCATCACATTACCCCATTCCCAACTGGTTCTTGTAACTAACAGAGAGCATTTTGTTCAAATAAGAGACATCAGTGCAACAAACTTTTAGAGGGCCCTAAACCCTTGGAAAATTCAAACTTTGAGATGAAATATACTGAATAAGAATGACACTAGAATGAATAGGGATCTATATAATTCCCAAAAAATTTTTACAAATTTTTAGGACTGTGAGTACATATTCAGTACATTGTTAAAATATGTTTAAACCATCTGCCTTTCCTAATGCTACCCCTGGAAGGGGGAAGGAGCAATCTGATGGGTTAAGATTTCATTTCATTTTATGAAATTTTTCACTATATAGTGTTTTTTTTGTTTTTGGTTTTTTTTGTGCATTTTTAATTCAAGATTGCATTTTACAAATTGGGAAGACATGCTGGTAGTGAGGAATTATAGGATAGAAAATGTATTTTCAATGTACTGTTTAGATTTTTTTCATGTTTTTTTTTTTTTTTTTACATTTTAAACCAGGAGACACCATACTTTGTAAAATACAACCATACATTTAAAACATCATGAGTTTTATGTCAACAACTTAATTTACTGCTATTGTCACTGGGTGCAATAATTTATCCATGTAATAATGTCTAGTCTTGAAACCAGAAGCCTGTGAACTTTATTTCCATTGATATTTACCCTTCCTATAGCCTGGGTAAAGTATCTTGGGAAATATAGTCCACAGACATTTGGAGTGCCAAGACTGGCATTCACTGATCTGTACATTTGTCAGTAAGGGTACTACAGTCTTTAATATTGATGGACATTGCTGCTGCTATATTTAATGTGAGGATTCATGCAATTTACACACGTTTTTATACTTGTGGGTGGAAGCAATTCTGGCATTTTATGCAATTTATACAATAACTCTAACATCCCTCATTCTTATTAAGTAAACTCCAACACATTTTTATTAAAGACATATGTTTCAGGATATTTACAATCTTCAAATAACACTACAATAGTTAATATTTTGTAATAGTAGACAATTTTCATTCAAATTGAAATGAGAACTTAACACTTTCCGCACAATCTTTTTATCACTAATCACTGACTCATGTGGTATATTCACAGCTTTTTTTAAAAATTCAAAATTGAAACTGTCAGAGTTAGTTACTAGAAGTAAATAACTAGATTCAAAGTGAATTTCACATTTAGGTCCAGAATAGATTAAATGGAAACATTTTCCAAATTCAGCTATGCTTCCATATGAGCTATTTTGACCTTAAGTGAATATCTTTGTTTCTATCTACATATGCCACACAAATAGTTTTTGAAAAGTTTCAAGGACAAATTAGTAGTATACATATATAGGGTTTTAGAGTTTTGCTGAACTAATATCTCATCATGGGGCATTTCTGTTTTCTATAAATTCATAAAATACTCGTTAAAGTCCTCAAGAGACAAAAGTCAGGTCACATGTGAAGGTAACAAACTTATAGAGCGTAACAAAGTGATCGCTAGTTTTTCCGCTCACTGAGATCCTGTATTGGCACAATAAATCCAGTTTTGTGGAATAACTTTCTTCTCTTGATGATTTAGTAAGTGTGCCGACTGTCTTATATGTATTATTGGCTTTTGGAGTTTGTGGGTCCTGATAAAGGATTTCAGAGAAGTGTACATCATTGAAATATACTTAATTCTTGGATGCCTGTGTTTTTATATTTATTGCTATCTTGGTACATGAAAACTGCCCAAAGGTTTTTATTTAAAAAATACAATTTTTGCCACTTTTCGTGCGGTTACATCACAACTTTTTATTCTTTGCGGGGAACTCAAAAATAATTCAATGTGAATTTCAAATTAAGGTTAAAATAGCCACACTGGAGAAGTTATCAAATCTAGTTACTTTGGCCTTAAATTTGAAATTCACCTTTAATTTCCCACAATTCTCACTTTAGTAAATAAACCTGCTAGTTTTCCCTGACAGTATGTTACCTTAAAGAACAAGTGTCATTCAATTTTCACTTGTCATTTTTCCAGATATTAAATACAGTGAACCAAAGAAGAATTTCAGCAACCAAGTTGGGGGGGAGGGGGGTTAAATGAAACAGCGTAATTTGCAAACGCAAATTCAGTGTTTAGTGAATTTATCCCTCAAAGAGATTAGACTACTTCCCTTGCATACTTACCTATCATACTTACTACATACTGTCTTAATACTCCCTATCGCCAACCTAAACTTCCTAACTCTAAAAAAAAACCCTAGCTTCAAAATGAAATACAATTTGATTAGGGTAAGAAAAAAGTAAAACTCAGTGCTTCTGCAGTTTTAATATTGATCAGTGTTACAATGGGTACAAATTAATTTTGCTTCAAAATATGATGTCTCTGGCCACAATATGCTGTTACATGACACTCTCATGTTGTCCTTTTCCTCAGTTATAAATTGAAAATGGAAATGCACTTAGAAACATACAGCCATCATAAGGGCAGAACAGAGATACCTTTACATTGATAGCTTTAACTCTGATTAGCCCCCTACATAGCTAAACCTGGCATACACCCCTCAAATGAAAACTCAAATGAAAAGCATGTAAAATGGCCTTGCTATATATGTTTTAATTGATCTTAGATTAAAGAATAATACAAAAAAAAAAATATTGTTTTCCGTTAAACTACTCATCACTTGCCATGATTATCACTTGGCAAAAACTCACGTCTTTTATGACAGTCCTGAAATGAGTTAACACTATATAGCTATTAACTTAGCTGACTTTGCTTCTTCAATGATTTGTCAACAAGTTTATCTGCCCTTCTACTGTATTATATTGTAAATTAACTCACTAATACACTAATGTAATGATAATATGCTTTTAAACATGAGCTTTCAGTCAGTATGTTAGCACTCAAGCATGTATTTACTGTTTGTTGCAAGAGTCATTAACTCTGATTTTGTAATTACTATTACGATAAACTTATATAATGGGAGCATCTTGGGTGTCTCTCCCTCTATGCAAAGATGCAGAGAAGATGTCATATGGCCCTAGACACCTTCCCAGTTTGGGCCACCCTTTATTCTTCATATAAGGATGCTTAAAGGAGCCAAGTAAATTCATGGTTCCGGGGTCCCTGGCTAACCCCTGAGCCCTAGGTGTTGCCTATGCCCTGCTCTGCCAAATTGTAATGGTAATCGTCAAAATCATAAGAATAGTATTTGTGGAAGCTGTGAGTAATTTTAAGTTGACACATGTATGACAAAATGCATGTTTCTGCACAAATCATGGTGTTCAATTGTCATAATTTACTACCTAAAGTACCATAAAGCTCAGTAATACAATGTTACTGTTTTGCATAAAAGAAATAAGGCCATATAAAAAATTATGTTAAATGTATAAGACTGGCAAGTTGTGTATTTTACTTTTCTTCATTAAGGAGAATGCATGTTATTTAAGTGACAGAAATAGAAGAAAAAACAAAGTTGCCATATAATTTGCTGCTTTGGGTTCAAGATAAATTTGAATAAAATTAGAATTAAAATTTTAGTCTCTGATCAGTATATATTCAGTCAAGGATAGACTAAATGCAATCCTTTCTATAAAATACAGACTTCAGGGAGGAATGAATGTAAGAATAGACAAGTTCCAACACTTTTACATACAGATTGGAAGTGCGATCTTTAATGTAAATAGAACTGTATTACTGTTACTTTAAGATATTTTCTTCTTTCTACTTTAGGTTAATTTGATGTGTTTTCTTAAAATCTAAATGGTTTTGTAACCTTTCAGATGTCTATCTCAATAAATGTACCCTTTTTTTCAGAAGTAGATTATGAATTTGGATTTTTATTTTCAATACGTTTAATAGTGACAAATGCGTTATAGACTTGTGAAAAAAAAAACTTATGTACCACTAAAAAGTCTTTTTTCTACCTTCTGGAAAGGATTTATATTTTTTCACATATCTTTGTACTGGATGACAAAGGGGAACAGCGGCTTCTCAGGAAATTACAAAATTTAATCAAACACTTAAAATCGCTAACATGTGCTAAGCTTTTTTGTGTGTGATGCTCCATTTATCAAAGGGACTTATATTTAGCTATAGAGTGTTCCTATTAGTGTTTAGGCTCAAGGCCCACCCCCTGTTCTTTTTTAAAGTAAAACAAAATCCTTCTAGAACTCATCTTTATTCCAGTGCTCGGACAGTCACCTATCTGCAGGCACTCCGCCTTCAGTGAAGTCATCAATAACTCATCATTGCTATACCTCGGTAATTAACGGCCTAAAGGAGTAGTATCAGACAAATGTAAACACTTGAAAATGGCAATCCAGGTGGAGGCAAGCAATATTTTTTCGATATACATGGTGGGATCTAGTGATGGATTAAATGGTAACAATGGAATAGACAACAATTTGCTAAAAGGATTAAAACCACAAATGACAGCTTTAACAAATGAGCTGATGCCATGGCACAACGGCTCCTCCCAAACTGGCCACACGAGTATTGACTCAATAGACAAGACATCTAAGCATCTAGCTCCTTCCAGGATGTGGCTAGAGCCACTTATGGTGGAACCGTGTGGCCGTGTACCGCCTATAGTTAAATAACGCAGCTGGTACTACCACACATGCCACCAGTACAAGTAAGGATGTGGTTAGTGTCACCTCTGTAATGCCCCCTTTTGAGCGACCTAGGCCCAGTAATGAGTGGTTCCCTTTTCTCCTTTAAAAACCCATCCATTTCAAAGAAAAATGCTCACTTATTGAGTTTGTTCTCAATACTATGCATTCATTATATATGTTCCTGATTTACCTTACCAGGCTCTGCTTGAATTTTTCACTTCTGCGTGTCTCACCTGCCCTTAACCACAGATTGTTTAAATTGACTGTATTTTTCATTATTCCTTCGCAAAGTGAATGGATATTTTTACACTTTTTTGGGGATGGGGGAAGGGTTACAAGTCTGTTAACCCTTTCATGCTTGGAGACCAGCTGTTTGTATACTGGCATTTCAGTTTTAACCAACTTCTGTAAACATTTTTACTCTGCACTTTATCAGTATGCTTTCTTTGTAAAAACAAATGAAAAACAGGGAATCTGCAGTTCAGGGCCTCCAGCAATCTATGTGATTCCTCCTAAAAAGAGAAACCTACGCATTTATGCGATACAATCACTGTAATATCATATCACATTATATTACATAATAATACTCACCATATGAAATATGTTCTTTAGTTTTTGTGTATAAAAAAAACTATTACATATGGTGGAACGGTAACCCTGAGTCTATTTCCAGCGCTAAATCCTTTGTGAGGAGCAAACAAGCCGTATGCAAGTCTCTGCATGGGGGGTGGTAAATTACTTAAAGGGACACTCCACTGTCCCTCAAAATAAAAATCACTTTTAGTAGATAAAAAAAAAAAAAAGAATGCATTCCACACACACCAGCTCTCCCACCCCCCAAGAGGGGGGGCCTCTTGTTTAAGGGTACCATCACAGACGGGCCTGTTCACTCAATCCCAACAAACATAACACATTATAAAATGACAACCCCACACTGGACGGCCCGCTCCGTCTCATCCCTAGTACCACTCCTGCCTAAATTACCACACCACTCAAAGTCTTCAAATCCATGCGCGTATCCATCCATACCAGCCCTCATACATACACCAAAGCACCAACGTTAAAACTTTAAAAATGTGCAGAATACACACCGTAATATATGTTCTAACCACACAAGTTGCGTTATGCTTGATATACTCATGCTGTGGCTGTTGTGGCACAGCAGATTACTCTGTTGAATGTAACTCATGATATGCACAATAAAAATAAAGAAATAAAAAAAAATGCATGCATTTAATTTTTCATTTTTTTCATTAGGGATTTATCTAAAATCAGGTTGCAAAAGCAAGCTGCAGAACTCTTGTCTGCTACCTTTGCAAGCCCTCCCCTTCTAACCGCGCTAAGACATTCTGTGGCTGTCCAATCACAGACTTCTCAATAAGAATTCTCTGCAAGGCAGGTTTCCTGGGCTATTGCTGTCTATTGAGGTAGCTCCACTGAGCTAACCAACCCAGGAAGTAACTGGATTTGTTGTCTGATTGGCAGCTGGGGGCCGGTAACAATGTTAATTTTTAAACGAGCTTTAGATGTTTGGAGTGTTCCTTTAATTGATACAGAGAGCCCACATATCTAAATATTGTGGAAGTACATCTAACACTAGAAATGCTGTACAAGTTTGTGTTTCTAATGTTAAAGTGCTCCTTTACGTTCTTCCAGTACTAACTCCTAAATAGTTTATATTTTAAGTCTAGAAATTAAGATTTAACAATAAATGTTGATTGGAAGAAAATTGTCGATTTGACATAGATAGCACTAAGTATTGAAGAATGCTGATCCAGAGATATTGCAGTAGTATAGGTTAGCTCTTATTCATGGTGATGTAATGTATAACATAGTTCAACTTGCATCCAGACAGGGCCTCTTCCTGTCTGGTGATACTGACTGATGTGATTATGAAAGGCTGCTACCAATGCATGCTTAAAAGGCATTTTGTTGGCTGTGAGATAAAGGGACATTTACGTAAAGTGAGCATGAATGTTAAAGAGATCATTGAGTACTGAAACACAGCTCATCTTAAACGCCCTTAGTGTAAGCATAATTAAATGAGCCAAATGAAGAGTGCTTTGTAAGGCTCTTCAACGTTTCTTGACTGCAGTGCTGTTCCTTACAGACTTTGATTAAACAAAGATAGCAGTATGACATATTTAAAGTACATTATATTATTTCATAACTATTTTTATCAAAGACGTAAAATTGTTCCTGCATATTACACAGTGATGCCCAATAACCAGTTGATTTGACTTTGAAGGCAACGCAATCTAAAACAATGTGATGTAAAACAACTTGTTTATTATATTGTGGCAGAATAAAGTTATCATTGTGATGCATAAGAAAAAAGAAAGATTTAAGTATTCTTGCTATAGATATTTTTAATTTGTGTTTTGGGGACACACATACAGAGACTATTGTCATTCTGATGTAAGATTGAAGTATGTGTGTTTAAGTTATCAAGTTTATCTTAAGACAGCTTTTTTATGGAATACTGTCGGGAGGAATCCAAAATGTTCTATAGAGACCTTCTCTTCTACCAACTGTGATTATTATCTTGGTACTGCTCATACATTTGATCAAATAATCCCACTAATACAAATGCTACAAAAATATAAATAAATATAAGTAATTTCCTGGATATCCCCAATGGTGCTTTACTCGTGTACAGTACCTGGGGGGGTCAAGGGTTTGCAGGCTCCTTGGACTAATTATAACCCCATCCTGCAACCCAGGGGATGGTGGATGGAGCAGAGGTTATTTAACCTTTCCTAAATATGATTGAGGTCTCACACTCCATGTATAGCTGTGCATAGCGCGAAAACTTGGTTAGATTTTCCCCAGAAAATAAAAACTTTTTCACAATACATGGATTTCAGCCATATGTGTGACAGGATCTGCTACATTTAAAAAAAAAAAAAAACCCTGATTTGGAAACAAATCAGACTGACCAAAAGGGCACGAAAATGGGCCGTAATATGATATTATATATATATATTTTTTGCAGTATTGCATTTCTCCACCATTTGTTTCAAATTTCAAGTTGGAAAATTTAACCAATAGAGGGAAAAAAGTAGAAGCAGTAAAAAAGCTATATTTAAATATTTATTACATATTTATTCAGAATCAAAAATTACAGCGAATATGTTTTGCCATTGTGCAGCTCAGTTGGTTCATGATTCAGGTATATTTCGTCTCAGAGTTCAGGAATTTGACCATCACTAGATCAACTCAAATTAGGACAAATCTCTAAGTATATGGGGTTAAGGGAGATATAAAAACATGCAGGGGCAGACTGAGCGGTCGGGCACTTCGGACATGGTCTGAGGGCCCGGCTGAGGTAGGGAGCCCGCCAACCAGCCACTTTGTGTCTGTGGCACAGACACACAACAGAATTTGCGCCGACCGCTTGAGTCAAACGCCTCCCTTGGGCCCAGCAGTGCTTACCAGAAGTGGAGCTAGGGCCCGGGAGAACAGAGGAGTATGTGATGCCTGTGCGCGTGGGCGCCCAACGCTGACGTCACGTACACGCGTTGACTTGCGCCACCTGCACGGGCCACCCGTTATTGAAGAAAATGCTTCAATGATCAGGAGCCCGGTCAGGACCCTTTACTGTGAAATGCCCTCCCTGCTTACCAAGAAGCCGAGAGAGGAGGGAGCCAGACTCCCATCACACTCAGCTAGATGCCACCCTCCTGAACCAAAAAGGTATGTAAGCAGGGGGATGGTTAAAATATGTAATGTGATCTGTGTGTGCATGTAATCTGTATGTGTTAGTGTGTCTGTATATCTGTATATATGTTAGTGTGTGTATATCTGTATGTATGTTAGTGTGTGAATATATGTATGTATGTTAGTGTGTGTCTGTATCTGTATGTATATTAGTGTGTGTATATCTGTATGTATGTTATTGTGCGTCTGTATCTGTATGTATGTCAGTGTGTGTATATCTGTATGTATGTTAGTGTGTGTCTGTATCTGTATGTATGTGTTAGAGTGTGTGTATATCTGTATGTATGTGTTAGAGTGTGTGTATATCTGTATGTATGTGTTAGTGTGTGTGTGTATATCTGTATGTATGTTAGTGTGTGTCTGTGTATCTGCGTGTATGTTAGTGTGTGTCTGTGTATCTGTATGTATGTTAGTGTGTGTATATCTGTATGTATGTTAGGGTGTATGTGTTAGTGTGTGTGTGTATATCTGTATGTATGTTAGTGTGTGTCTGTGTATCTGCGTGTATGTTAGTGTGTGTCTGTGTATCTGCATGTATGTTAGGGTGCCTTTATCTGCATGTATGTTAGTGTGTATATCTGTATGTATGTTAGTATGTATGTGTTAGTGTGTGTCTGTGTATCTGCATGCGTTTTAGTGTGTGTGTGTATCTTTATGCATGTTAGTGTGTGTCTGTGTATCTGTATATCTGTGTGTGTTAGTGTGTCTGTCTGTGTTTTAGAGTGTGTCTGTAAATTTGTATGTCAATGGGTGTGTCTGTGTATCTGTATATGTGTTGGTGTGTGTATGTATCTGTGAGTCGGCACCTGTGTATCTGTACAAGCAAATACACCCCTGCATTCAAATATCACCACTACATACAAACACACCCCTACATTCAAAGGCAAACAGTGCACACAAATACACCCCTACCTTCTCACACACATAC